CGCCTTGCTCTGTTCTGTGACGCACGTTCGTGACTCTCCTGTTCGAACTCATTCATCACATCTTTGAACTCATTCATCAAATTCATCAATCTGAACAAATCTTCTTCTGAGTCAATTCATTCGTTTTGTTCGTTGAATGAACCAAATGACTCAGAAAAAGATTTGTTCATTTTGATGAACAAGTTCAAACAGGAGTCACACAGAACAGAGCAAGGCGAGCATTTGAGCTTATAAAACTTAAACTTTGTTATTTATTTTTTTTAAATTAGTGATCGTTTCACTTGATAAGACCCTTATTCATCGTCTGGAATCGTTTGAAGCCCTTTGAACAGTTTGCACTGAAACTTTCTTTTGGACCTTGAACCGTTTGGTTCCCATTGAAGTCCATTATATGGAGAAAAATTATGGAATGTTTTCATCAAAAAGCTTAATTTCTTTTCGACTGAAGAAAGACAGACATGGACATCTTGGATGACATGGGGGTGAGTAAATTATCAGCAAAAGTTTATAAGTGACTTTTTTATTCTCTTACGGATTCAAAGCTTTTGAACAGAAGTGTATAAACACACACACACACACACGATATATCCACTCACAAGCATGTGTCCGGGTCCATAGAGGTCATCTTAGGGAACCAGCAGTAGTCATAGATGGTGTCTCCTTCTGCCATCTTCAGCACTGGACTCTGAGTGGACACACAAGCAACAGCATTACACAGTGTACAGGACTTTCAAATAAGCAAACAAGAATGTTTATATATTTAAAGGGACAATATGTAGGATTTTCGGTAAAAATGTAGTGAATTGTGCTCTCTAGCGCCTCGCTTTTTCAAATGCGCGTTACATCTACGGTAGCCATTATGTACCAAAAAGCTATGACAGGATGTCTTCAAATTGCACTTTGTCGAGTGTTCCTTCGGGTGAACGGGTTTGTTATTTCAAATAAACGAATAAATGAATGTTACAGTATGAATTACTGACTCTGAAAAAATAAGTAGTTTATCCTTCTTTATTCGTTATATTTCCTGAAGTACGTGCAATGCTAGATATCATCATCAACTTATAACTATAAATGTTCATCTGTCTATAAAATAAAGTACACAACCAAACACTAAAAAAAAGCTTGTAATTAAGACAAACATTGCCATACCTGTCGAGAAGAAAGCAGGACTTCTGAACTCTTTCTCCTGCATTAGTTCTATCCACCTGGAAAAAGCTATCCCGACATCAACTCGTGTTGTTTGTAATCTCCGGTCACGTTTCCTTTTACGAACTATTTTGGACTTTTCTGGCGACGAGGATTTGCAATGGTCCTTTTAAACATTTAAACCTCTCGCCGCTTCTGCTGCGTTCAGTCTCGTCACGCCAGCTCTGATCGAAAACGCACTGTGGAAACACGTTGGCCTGGTACTTTTTGTCCCTCTCTGCTATTATAGTTTTTCAAGATGGCGGAACTACATGGAAGCCTCCGTGGACCTACCCGTCCCATGTAAGATAATAAATTCTTCGTTTACAATTTATAATTGGCAGATTTGTACACCATTTATGAATAAAAATATTGATTTTAAAAAATAAAATACATAAAAAAGTACACATTGTCCCTTTACAGGTAAATCAAGGGTTTAGACGCAAAGCAAAAACATCCTTTGACTCAAGAAGATTTCCAGTATTCATTTCAATTCTTTCATGAGCAGCGTTGGGGAAAGTTACTTTAAAAATAATGCAATATTGCGATACTCCCTAAAATGTAACTAACTGCATTACTTGGTTACTTTTTATGGAAAGTAATGTGTGCGGCTCACATTTAGTCAAGAGCTACAATACCCATCATGTTCACACACACAATGCCTCTGCACTATTGAGCTGTCAGTCAATACATGTGAAAAAAAAAACGTAAAAAGTAACGCATTACTAGTTACATGAAAAAGTAATCTGATTACTTAACTTTATTTTAGGGCTGTGCAAAAATTAATTGCGATTAATCGCATCCAAAATAAAAGTCTGTGTTTACATAATATATTTGTGTGTGCTGTATATAATTATTTTGTATATAAAAATACCTATGCATGCATGTATATATTTAAGAATTATTTGCACTTAAATTCTGTATTTATATATAAATACATAATATATATTATATAAATATAAATATTTTATAATATATGTACTGTGTGTGTATTTATATATACAAAATAATTATATACAGCACACACAAATATATTATGTAAACACAGACTTTTATTTTGGATGCGATTAATCGCAATTAATTTTTGCACAGCCCTACTTTATTTACTTAAATGTACTTATTTACACTGGCCAAAATCAGTTTAGTATTTCTACTTCAACAGGTACATGATAAATATGAAAAGAAGATCTGGAAGAGGCTGACCATCTCAGAAAGCAAGTCCCAGCGGCTGCTGTACAGCTCAGGCGGGAGGTTATACACACGAAGAACATTATCAGCGCTGTTGGAAACAATACAGGAACCGTCTGGAGCCCTGCGGAGAGGCGTCATAAAGAAAGATCAATACTGAGGTACAGTTTACACAACACAGCCATCATTAATGAGTTGCTTCATCAGTTATGATCACCATTTGCAGCCTCTGAGGTAATTCTCCGCCGTGTGGGAGTATTCGGCCCAGGAGCCCGTCAGCATCTGGGGGTCATGGCTGAAGTCCAGGACTTGACTGAGGACACAGCAAAAAGAGCTGAGAATATCCCTGTCCCAACACATTTGTTACAGCCACGTTCCCCGTCACAACAGCTTAAGATGGCCGTATACTCACTAGTGCTGCTCGGTGGAGTTGTCTTCTGGACTCTTGTTCTCAGACTCGTCTGCTTTGTCCTCCTCGGCCCGTCCGAGCGTCTCTCTGGTCTCGGCTCCGTTTTGATGCCACTCCACGTCTCCTTCGATCTCCTCAGGTCCCACAGCACGTTCGGTTTCATCAGTGTGATGACAGGCAACTGACAGAATCAAATTAACATTAGCTATGTTTCCATCCGGAGTTGCGAATTTAATGTGCAAATTTGTAACATCACATTAAACATTTATAAAGTTTCCGTCCCCTCGTGTTCTCGAGAACAAAAGTCTCCGTCACTTCCTGGAAAATTAACGCAAAATATCTGAGATAAAAATGAAAGTGGGGCATTTTAGATTATCTGCTAATTAAATTATCAAATTAAAAACAAAATGAGATTTTTAGAAACATAGTATAGCTTAGTTTACCTATATTGTAGTACCTATAATTAAAACATTTAGGAAATGTTCTATATTCTTGATTGATCAGTTACAACAATATTATCAGATGTGTCATATCTCTGTTATCTAAAACTTAATAATAAAAATTATATTAATGTATACCATTAAAACATAAGTCATTTAATTCATTAAACATGACATAAGCCAAATATTAACTAATTAATCAGCGTTTTTATATGCTTGTTTATGCTTCTGTGGTTATTTTAATGTAAATAAATATTAATAATACAAGAAAAAAATATTTTAAAGCTCTATTTTTGACTTATAATTCTTGATAAAAGTAGTAACTGAATAAAAACATATTCTAAACACTTATACTACAGTTGTTCATGGCTTGTTTGCTATTTTAAATCAATATTAATCGTAAAAAAGTGCAATTTAAATAAAAAAACTGACTTATGATGTTGCTTGGCTCTCTGTGATTAAAGGCAGTTGTATTGGACAAGTAATCAACGTTCAATGGCATAACCACAAGTAAACCACATTTCATTTCAGATCTAAGAAAAATAACAACATCACATCCAAATTTATTAAAGTGAACCAAACAGTTCACTTACGGAGTGCTGCTTAACTATAAAATTGGATGCATATGAAAGACTAAAGGACAATATCTGTGTTAAATACTTAAAGATGGCAGTATAAGAACCACATATGGAGTTTATATCGGCACATATTAAGACATCAGAAGGGCATACTGACATTGTGCCAAACAGGACGCTGTAAATCAGAAGTGCTTACCTTCCTCAAGAGTCCCAGAAGCACCTGGGCTCCCACATGTCTCCTCTGAGGGCATCACTGGCTTCTGTGCCAGGAGTAAATCAAGACCCACATCGTCCTGCTCCAGTCGAGGCTGCTTCGCTGCTGGTGGTGCTTCCTCCTCTTCTTCCACCCCTTGCTGAAGAAAAGCCTCGTGAGGAGGTTCTCCATCCGCCTCTGTGTCCGGTCCCGCACCACCATCACTGCTTTGACCTGCACCTGACATGCTGCCTTCAGAGAACATGCACGATTCATATCCTTTCAGTCATGGAGTTCACATACAGCAGCAGCGAGAGTTAAACTTATATATGAGCTTGTACATTCAGATGTCTGACTATAATACACATGAAAATATGTTGTAGTACTTTGTAATGTTGTAGTGAACCGTAGTTTATTCACAGAAGTCCCTGCTAGACACATGACATTTTATTCTATGAAACTCATTTATGAAACCCATAAACATTCGATAAAATAATACTTTCTGCTATTCGCATATCAAAGTTTCCAGAGAAACTAGCCAGAAAAGACCACCCTAGGATTCCTTCACTTTTACTAATTTATTTACATGCAACTAACTATAATGAAAAGTGATGTCACACAAGGACTTCTTGTAATCTCCAGTTACGGGTTATAATTTTTATATTTAAAAAGAACTCTAATGAACCATATATTATAAACAGCAAATGTAATATGTTATTGTAAAGAAACACGTACGTATTGATTCTCTATACGTTATCATAATAGTGTAATTTCAATATAGATAGGCAATTTTGCCTCCAAGAAACATAACTGCTCGATTACATGGAAGTTAACAGTAATTGTTCTGATATTTCTAATACATAATTTATGGTACAGCTGTAAGTTTAAGGGTTTTACGGTTACAGTCTTGAAATTAAGAACATATTTCAGTGTATGAGCATTTATTTTGACTGTGCAGCCAACGACAGTCACTCCTGTTACTTCTTTACCTGTTGTTTCTTTAATTCGTGTCAGACGTAACTTGTGCTCTGGATCTTAAAAATCCGAAAATCTTCCTCAGTCAGTGTACTTGACTGTAGTACTGAGTTGACAGTTTCAGAGCATCTCTACTATAAACGCAAACAGTGTTGAACCTAGTAAACAGGAACTCACGCGTCGTGTTTGTATTCACAGGGCGCCGCCATGCTAGCACTGTGTGTATGCGCTGCCAGGTCACCTGACTCTCGCGAGATTTGCGCAACACTCCGTTACTTCACAAATATATAGAAGGGTTTCAATGTATATTTAACGTATGCATTAAAGCGCAATTTTACTACTTACTTTAAAATCCCTGCATTTAATACTTTGCAAAAAAAAAAAAAACCCAAACAGCTTGTCTCACGTTGTTTGTGTGTTGTTATTATCGCACATTTCTATTTTTAATAAGTATTTCAGTTAACTTTGGAAATTGTCAAAATAAAGTTCTCCTGAAAAACGTTTAATCTTGTTCGCTCTAATGAGTAGTTGATATCAGTAGATGCATCAATCTGTTTTACATAAAGAAGGGAGCTTTTGAGTTTAGCTTCAAACATTCGGTTACTAAACACAATTGGCTTTATACACAGCTGCACTACTTCCTGAACTTAAGCCAGCTCCCTTGTTTCCTGTTAGCTATTATTGGCCGAACTTGATTAATTCAGGTGTGTTTGATTATTGTTGCCGTGACTACTGAGGTCAGGCACACCTGAACTAATCAATTTGGCCAATGGCAGACAGGAAACAAGGGAGCTGGCTGAAGTTCAGGAAGTAGTGCAGCTGTGCATAAAGTATTGTTTACATGGTAAAATGATCAGCTACCCTTTTTATAAGTGCTTGAAGGGATACTCCACTTCTTTTGGAAATAGGCTTATTTTACCACTCCCCCAGAGTTAAACAGTCGAGTTTTACCGTTTTCGAATCTATTCAGCCAATTTTCTGATATTTAGAAGAATATCAGTAAACAGACAGTTTCTGGTCTCATTGACTTCCTTTGTACAATTTTTTTCCTACGAATTCAATGAGACCAGAAACTGTCTGTTTACTGATATTCTTCTAAATATCAGAAAATCGACTGAATACATTCGAAAACCGTAAAACTCAACTGTTTAACTCTGGCCCCGGGGGAGTTGTAAAATGAGCCTATTTCCAAAAAAAGTGGAGTATCCCTTTAAAGATATCACTATTTCAATTCATAAGCTTGCAATTTGATTCCCGTCTTGATGAATAGATATTGAATCAAGTACGGCTACAAGTAAATATTTCCAAGGGTGCATCCGAAATCCCATACTTCCCTACTGTATAGTAAGTGAAAAGATAACATTCATACAACAGACATTTATAGTATATAGAACGTATTTTTTAGTCGTGAAGTTATTACTTATTCAAAATAGGTACCTACTCAAGAGAGTATGTGATTTCAGATGCAGCCAATCTGTCGAATACTTAATTTCTCGTGAAATGAAGGGCGCATCTGAAGGAGCCTTCAGATTGAGACAGCCTCCGTCGCTCCGCTGTGATGCAACCAGCCTTCGAGGGATGCAGCCTCTGAATTGGGACACAGTAATGGCCACCACCTTACTGGGGAGAAATGACACCCGACACCCTTTTGTGTTTGTCAAATGCTAAATAGTGAGAAAACCAAAGTCCACACAAGTGCCTCATTCTGAAGCATTTATTAATTTTCTTCAAACAAACCAAGAAACCCCAAAAACTATTCACATGATGAATATTCAAACATTGTCCAAATGGTTTCTTATGACCTTTTTTTTTTTTTTAAATGGTTGCATCTCTGGAAATTTCAAGACATCCAACTCAGTCGTGTGTGACGGCAAGCTAGAGACTTTTCAGATCTCGTTATGCATTGCTGATTTCGACTCCGCCATCGCCGCTGTTATTCGGTTGATCACTTCAAGAAGAACACACGGCTCTGTGACAGCGCCAATACAGTACGGTTGCTTTTCACACACTGAATCAATAGATATGACAAACATGTATTTTTTAAATCATCATTAACATTTTAAAACCTATTTTTGCATGCCAGTCAAGACATTAGGCATCACTAGTTTATTCTGACCTGCAAAGGTACACAATTAATCATCTTAAGAGGGCAATACCGTACAAATAGTATTTCTTACTTCTCTTCCGAGATCAAAGATGAAAAGGCGTTTTTATGTTCATCAGTCGACACAATTCTGACCTGGGAACAGTTTTCGCCTCTCATACTGAAAATGCGAAACGGTTTCGACGTCAGAAAAACACCCAAAAAAGTCATCAATTACACGTTTTTTGCGGGGATAATTTGAAAATGTTACAGAAATCATTTCACAGGTTCATAAACAATGTTTCATGGGTTCCTTAAATAAAATCACACGCTATTATGTCACAGAGCTAGTCTCACTTTTTTTGTTTTACGCATCTTAAGTGTGCCTTAATAGGCAGAACTGAACTGTTAAGGCATGTCATAAAAGAAAAAAAAAATTCAAACAAATCTGAAAACCCAACAGAGAATGGGAAAAGGGTTAAGGTTATATACACTATTTACATGGCAGCCAGATTGAAGTGTAGTGCGACTGTTAAGCCATGTCAGCGAGTGTGTGTAATTGAGAATTCATTTTTGAATGCGTGTGTGTGTGTGTATTTCAGTTGTTATTCATGTGTGTGTCGTGTTTGTAAAGTTCACTCTGGCTGCAATCTGTGCAGGTTCGAGATCTCATAGTTCAGCTGTTCCAGCATTCACAGTTCACTCCCTCCTCATAGAGAGGAAACATGTTCCTCTTAGTAGTCCGAATATGGTGCCATGAGTCCATCAGTCCTCCTCTTCCTCCTGGGGTCTTCGTCATTGACATGCAGTCATGATTACATGTGCTGTTGGGAATCTCCATCCTTGGGATCTTCCTCTGAAGGCGAAGGACAGGAGACGGAGACGGAGACGAAGACGAAGCAGTGGAGAGCCTCTATCTCCATCTGAAGATCTGGAACAGCAAAGATCTAATCAAAGCAGAGAGAGACAAAAAGGAAGACATTATTTTTTGTGAAAATAAAGAGTAGATCTAATAAGGAAGGGTTAATGCCTGACGAGGTGTCCATTGTCAGGTGTCCGCCAAAGTCCACCTCGAAGGGCATTAATCCGCTTATACCATGGTCACTTGCCAAATAACACATTAGTTTATATTTCAATTAATTTTACAATCCAATTTGGTTTCCATGGTTACGCCTGACGGTCAATAGAGTGCCGAAGTTATGACGTCACTCCGTAGGCCAAAACGCGGAAGTGAGTTAGCATTTTAGCACTCCCGGTTCCTCTATACGCACAACCGGCGCTGCGTCATAGAATGTCTCTGAATAGGTTCACGCCCACTTTTGGGGGAAATCAATATTACGCCTTATTCACGGCAGCGCCATCTTTGATTTTTAATGAGAATGAAAGCGAGGCTGTGAGGGATAGACTTGCATCTCTTCGATGGGCTGTATTGTTATTTAATGTGTTTTTCGGATTGTTCTGCTCATGAAACACTGGAAAAATATCTTTTCAAGAAATGTCAGTTGACAAAAAACTCCCGACAATATAAGCTGTGGAAAATTGTAAGTAATCTAGCCGCTTTATTCAGCTTTTTACAGCGGATGCCATTGGAAACACGGTAAGTCTATCCCTCACAGCCTCACTTTCATACCTGTCATGGCGCTGCTCTGAATAAGGCCTATAGACTTCAATACAAAATAACAGCAAAAACCAACGTCCGTCCGTTGTAATAACTTAAGAAATCACTTATATAAAACATGTCAAGTAATTATATGTCACCCCTGCCTGGCATAGAGCGTGAAAGATACATACACAAACTTAATTTGGCCAATTTAAAAACATGTCCCTTTATTTTTCCAGCGTCAAATTGGTGTAACAACCCCACCCAGTGGCCAGAGGTGTCCTACCCGGACATTTAATTGTACCTCATCGAGGCACCAGGTAAGCCCCTGAATGATTTTATTTTGTTTTTTTAAAGTAAAAAACCTTAATGTGTATATTATGAATTTATGATGATGATGATGATGGCAGGTAGCCTGGGCTAGTTGATTACGGGCATAAAAAAATGTATCTTTCACGCTCTATGGCAGGCAGGGTGGACATTACTTGACATGTTTTATTTAAGTGATTTCTTAAAGGGTTAGTTCACCCAAAAATGAAAATTAAGTCATTAATTACTCACCCCCATGCTGTACCAACCCCGTAAGACCTTCGTTCGTCTTCGAAACACAAATGAAGATATTTTTGATTAAATTTGAGAGCTGTATAACTACCACATTGGCTCCTAAGGGACTGCCTCTTGACGGCCCAGAAAGTCAATGAAGAAAATGTTTAAATATCCCAAGTGACTACCGTGGCTCAACTGTATGTTTATCAAGCGACGCGAATACTTTTTGTGCGAAAAAACAAACAAAAATAAAGAGTTTATTCGACTATTTCTTTTCTTCCTTGTAGGCCAGAAACGAGACTTCCTTAGATTTCCACGACGCATGCACGAGAATTGCGATCTGAAGTAGTGTAAGTAGATCGCAATTCTCGCGCATGCGTCGTGTAAATCTAAGGAATTCTCGTTCTGGCCTACAAGGAAGAAAAGAAATAGTCGAATAAACTCTTTATTTTTGTTTGTTTTTTCGCACAAAAAGTATTCGCGTCGCTTGATAAACATACAGTTGAGCCACGGTAGTCACTTGGGATATTTAAACATTTTCTTCATTGACTTTCTGGGCCGTCAAGAGGCAGTCCCTTAGGAGCCAATGTGGTAGTTATACAGCTCTCAAATTTAATCAAAAATATCTTCATTTGTGTTTCGAAGACGAACGAAGGTCTTACGGGGTTGGTACAGCATGGGGGTGAGTAATTAATGACTTAATTTTCATTTTTGGGTGAACTAACCCTTTAAGTTATTTACGCCTGTCGGCTGTGTACGGGCGTTAGTTTTTGCCGTTATTTTGTATTGAAGTCTATAGGGGATTATCACGCTGATGCGTAGGACTTCCGGATTCTGTGATCTTTGTGCACTGCCACTTCTGTTGAATCACCGATCTCGCTGGTAAATTGATAAAGGACTGCACTAAGTTTATTTATACGGCATCCCTGGTAAATTAGTCTGATTCACTAAAGTGCCGGCTGCAAACAAACGTGCTACCTAGTTTTATTTTTAAGTTTTAATCCACTTTTTCCTTATACTCAATTCAGTCGGGAATCCATGAAAACTTAAGTAGGGTTGGCATCGTTGGTTAGATTTACAAAGTGGAACAGAGTAGTGACATAAATAACATTCGTCTCAGGCATTGTTGAACTGCGTCGGAAGTGGACATGCACAAAGTTGACAAATCCCGTCCATGAAACCCGGAAGCATGATAATCCCCTATAGGGAGTCTCTTTGTTTCCCCCTAAAAGGGGGAGGGGACAAAATTGACAGTTAAGTTCCCGGATGTGCGTATACAGGCTTCAAAATTTATACATTTTGGACTTTAACTCGTAAAGATTGCCTTGATAGAAAACCCTTTGTTGAAGACAGACTTTTGGAAAATCCGCAAAAAATAAGATCTATGTGGAAATAGCTTTTCGATCGAGGCGCTAATCCATGCGCCGCTAGCTTCCGAGTTGTCCAACGAAGAGACGTCATCACTTCGGCTCTCTATTTAGAACTCATTTACTAGGTGTCCTATATCACTTTTTAATGGACACCCAGCAGCCAATCAGAATTGTAATGTGTAATATATTTTAAAAAGTTAGCTAGATTGCTTGGTTCGGATTTTTTTTTTTAATTTTAATTTAGTCCTGGTCTGTTTACGGCTCACATTGGCATTTTAACACTAAAGGCATAGGGATACGTTTACAATCTGATTGCTCGGCTTTTATTACGTATATCACGTGGCTTACCGAACATCCAAAACAAAGCTGTGTGCTGTGGATAAACGCGCTCGTTGTGTGTGCGTAGCCTATATATGATGGTATTTTGACCAGCGGAGAACTTGAAGATTGAGAACCAATGTTTTAGCATTTTTTGTTTTGCTAGGAGGATGCTCTGGGCATTTTAAAGCCATCACTAGTTTAACCCAAAGTACAGTAGCAGTAATTACTTTTGTAAGGAATAGGGGAAGGAAAAAATGTCAAATGTAATAAATCACTGAATAAACATAACCAAACAAACAAATAAATAGCATTCTTACCAAACTAAAGGTCTTGCGGTGCCGTAACCACTTCAAGCCAAAGGTGAACTTCAGCCACGCAGTCAGCAGGAGGCGGTAGAGCTGATGGAGCTTATTAGTTATTGATCTCCAATACACACACTAAAAACAAAACAAAAACTGTCCTCCAGTCTTTAAAAAAGCCTTTTTCAGTCATCCATGAAATATTTAATTCCAGTCCACAAAAAAAAAAGAAAAAAAGAAAAAAACCGTTGGCTAGCACCCTGGACCAAGCAGTTTAATCCTTTTTACATAACGGAGAACACTGTCGAGTAAATATGTTCTGAATCTCCACGTTGTAACCAAGTTACTGTTCGTATAGTCTTAAATATCAACATTGTTCAGTGAAAATCCTGTCCCAATGCGTCTGAAACTTCCCTTATCCTTCGACGGTAAAGCTTGTGTGGTGTCGTCCTCAAAAAGCCTGAGACACAACCACCGTAAGGAGAACGAGTCTCACGCTGGGGCGTCAAAAACCCCCGAAGCAGAAAGAGGACGTCTCGTGCTCTCCAAGCCCGAGTGAAAGCTCCTCACAGTTTTGAGCAAATGAAAAGTGCATAGGGAGGGTATCAGGGCAGTGCTTGTCCCTTTGTCATCTTCTTGAAGACGGCGGCCATGACACCCCGTCCACCCTCAGATGAGAAATACAAAAACTAGAAGCACGTTCACACACTGTCCAAGGAATTATCTGGCAGATCTGAGGTCACACATACGTTCTTGTTGTCGTTGTTCTCGATCACGGATATGTCCATCCGAAAAGAATCCACAAGATGATTGGGGGGGGGGGAAATGTTAAAGCATTCAATATATGCATCTCAAAGTACCAAGAGGTCGTCTGTGCTGTGTGATTTTTGCCTTCTTTCCAGGTACATTTCGATTTCATTACAAAGAGAGATTAGTAAACAAAAACAAGTCCAGTAAACAAAATATGGTCGCCTTTATGATTCTAAAAAAACAAAAAAAAACACACCCTGTCCATAAAGATTAAAGGTACATGAAGAAATCTTTGATGTACTTGTGTTCCAGCAATCCAAGTTTGTTTTTGTTTCAGTCAGCGAGTTATATAGGCTGCGTTCATATCCACATGCAAAAGGAAGGGTCTGACGTCATGCCTTCCGACAAAACGATTCTCGCGTATTCAATCACCACAAAAATGAAGAGGAAAACAAAAAAAAGCACCCACAAATGTCTGTGCGGTTTGTAAACAACCAAAACTCCAGTATGGAATAGAATATCGTTCTCATTTTCATAGTCAGAGTCTGTGTGAACAGGATTGTAGAGGCAGTGTGTTTTTGCGGTTAGCCACCGTCGCGACAAAAACGACTTTCGATTTCGCTCCTCTTGACGTCCTGCGTATTACGCTTTAATATCCCGTGTTGAGCAACTCCATCTACACCGTTACATATTTGGAATACATTCAACTTGTTTGTTTGTTTTTTTTCTAAGAAGGAAAGAAAAAAAGTACACAAATGCACTTCACATGGTGGCAACTAAAAAAAAAAGGAAAATTTTTCAAAATGAACAAAAAAAGTAGCAGCCCCAAGTGCTCTTCCTCATAGTCCAATACTTTGTTTATATTCATATATAATCATATATAACATCGAAACAAAATAAATCATTGTCATTGACAACAACAATGAACAAGTAACAAAATATTCAAACATTTTGTGTGCACCGCTGAGTGCACTTGCACAGTTTGTTGCGATCATTTTTTTTTTGTTGTCGTTTTTTTTTTTTTTTTTTTAGCCAGAAATAGTCAAAACCTCAGTCACTCGTGAACAAGAGAGTGGACAGAAAGGCAATGTTAGGTCACATCCTCCAAATATCAAACATTTTTTTCATCCGAGCATCCCCAGGCTACAACAGAACTGTACAGAGATAGGCTCTTGGTTCAAAAAGCATGGGAGGCATGTGGGGGCGGAGCCTAGTGAAGCCACGCCCCTTTGCTAAAAAAATAATGTCTCAATGGCAGCAATGAAGTCTAATCATTCGCCCTTTAGTTCTTAGGCACACATGTGGGGACAGAAAACACACACACATACACAACGTACGTACCACAAGTAACCATTTCCTAAAAGTATACAAGATTGAATTGAGCTCAACAACAACAACAACACAAACGAAACGATGATGACAAAACTAATGACGTGTTCTTAAACCTCACAGAGGCAAAAATGAGGCAGCGGAGGACGTCCCTCGCATCCCCCCACGAAAACTAAGAGTGCTGGTTGGCGTAAAATGGGCTAAAGCTTTTGTGTTTGAATCTAGAGGTCTTTCTTTGTCGGGGAATGAAGAGCTGGTGAAAGAGGATGTGTTGTGCCGTTGCCCCCCCTCTCTCTGTCTCGCTTTCATTCGCTCATTAATTCGCTCATACTGCACATTTACAAGAGGAGTAATACACACGGTTCCTCCTGCACACAAGCGATCACGTTCACACATTCATTCGGTTCATAAAAAAAAAAATAATAATTCACTCCGAATGACGAAATGGCCTCTTTTGATCATACGTCTAAATAAAGCGATTTAAAAAAAACACGTTGTGCAGACTGGTATGTTTTAAACACTCATACGCATACACACAGGCACACAATCACAAAAATATTCTTCTCTATTATATCTAACACATTTTTTTTATCTTTTTAACTTGCATTTTATGTGAGTGCAAATCTTCAAGTTTTATAATCAAAGTTTTTTTTTTTATAATAGCTTTACATTTTTTAATAGAAACTTTATATATATATATATGTATATAAAAAATGAAACAACAGTGTTTGTCTTTAAAGAGAGGATTTTTTTTTTTCTGATAATGTCTGAACTGAAACACACAATGGTCCCCCAATCGCCACCGTTTCCTCCCAGCACAAACTCCAGTTCTGATTCAACACACACACACACACACGCACACACACAGTATATGTATGTGGTAATATTTCTGAAGCCATACCACATAAATATACAATCATCTCGGAAAAGAAAAAAAAAACTATTCAAATTACATCTTAATAAAGTGCATTAGTCTGAGTGTAAGGTGCTTAATGCTGTAAGTGCCAGAACTTTATCACCCCCCGTCCCCCAAACACACGTACAGACACACAAAAATAAATTCACACCTGTTCCCTTCCCTGTTGAATTACATTCTTCTATTCCCAGCGCAGTCCCACCCCCCCCGCCCACCCCTGAACTGATACCTCACGCCTGGCTGATCCCGAATCCCCTCTCCCCCTCAAAGCAGTGCACATTCGACTTGCGGAGTCTGATTAGGTGGACCCGCGGGTTTAAAGGCCTCGTGTAGCTATTGCTGTGGATTCAGTAATCCTCGACCATCTCCATCTCGTTTAGACCATACCGATCAGGGCCACCATGGAATGAGTACCCTAAAGAGACACAGAAAGACATTTCAAATACAGTTAGTGGTGCACCATATGGTCAATCGGTGTCGTTCCGATGTCAAAATAGTGCTGATGTGAACAGGCCGATAATTATTCCTGTGTATTTGACGTGCGTAGATGCGAGCATGGGGGCGGGAATGTTTGTTTTTGCACAAGTGCATACATTACGAGTGCATAGGAGTCATTTGTTCAGGAATCAGTTGAAATACACTGGTTCTTTTTAGTGAATCAAAACCACATGCAGCACAACCGTTGTAGTTCAACTGATTCCTGAACAAATGACTCCTATGAACATGTGGTTTTGATTCACTAAAAAGAACCAGTTCATATGAGTCATTTGTTCAGGAATCAGTTGAACTACATTGGTTGTGTTACATGTGGTTTTGATTCACTTGAAAAAAAGAACCAGTTCATAGGAGTCATTTGTTCAGGAATCAGTTGAACTACACTGGTTGTGCCACATTTGGTTTTGACTCACTTAAAAAAACAGTTCATAGGAGTCATTTGTTCAGGAATCAGTTGAACTACACTGGTTGTGTTACATGTGGTTTTTAATTCACTTGAAAAAAATAACCAGTTCATAGGAGTCATTTGTTCAGGAGTCAGCTGAACTACACTGGTTGTGCTACATGTGGTTTTGATTCACTTAAAAAAAAATAGAACCAGTTCATAGGAGTCATTTGTTCAGGAATCAGTTGAACTACACTGGTTGTGCTACATGTGGTTTTGATTCACTAAAAATAACCAGTTCATAGGAGTCATTTGTTCAGGAATCAGTTGAACTACACTGGTTGTGCTACATGTGGTTTTGATTCACTTAAAAAAAAGAACCAGTTCATAGGAGTCATTTGTTCAGGAATCAGTTGAACTACACTAGTTGTGCTACATGTGGTTTCGACTCACTTAAAAAAAATTACCATTTCATATGAGTCATTTATTCAGGAATCAGTTGAACTACACGGGTTGCGCTACATGTGGTTTTGATTCACTAAAAAGAACCAGTTCATAGGAGTCATTTATTCAGGAATCAGTTGAACTACACGGGTTGCGCTCCATGTTGTTTTGATTCACTAAAAATAACCAGTACATAGGAGTCATTTATTCAGGAATCAGTTGAACTTCACTGGTTGTGCTACATGTGGTTTTGTTTCACTTAAAAAAAATTACCATTTCATAGGAGTCATTTATTCAGGAATTTACACAGGTTGAGCTACATGTGGTTTTGATTCACTAAAATGAACCAGTTCATAGGAGTCATTTGTTCAGGAATCAGTTGAACTACACTGGTTGTGCTACATGTGGTTTTGATTCACTAGAAAGAACCAGTTCATAGGAGTCATTTGTTCAGGAGTCAGTTGAACTACACTGGTTGTGCTATAGCCAATGTGGTTTTGATTCATAAAAAAAAGATCATAGGAGTCATTTGTTCAGGAATCAGTTGAACTACACTGGTTGTGCTACATGTGGTTTTGATTCACCAGTTCATAGGAGTCATTTGTTCAGGAATCAGAGAGAGAAATAAATAAGTACGGGTACCTAAGATGCTTGGGTCAGAGTGCAGCATCATGGGCTGTTTCTTCTTCAGCTTTGCTGCCTGATCATAGACCGCACCACCCTTCCCAGAATGCACTGCCTGGAACATAGACTGCAGAGTGCTGGGGTTCATTCCTCGTACAGTATCCTATTCGACAAAAAAGGGCAAGAATGAGAGGCAAACATGAGAATCTGATAAATTACAAACGTGACTTGGTTTAGCCCATCACGGACATATAAATCATCGTCGTACTCATACCTGCAGTGGGAAGTTGTTCATGCTGAGTCCAGCCATCTCTTTGGAGAGCTGTAAGAGAAGACCAAGAATTTAATTTCAAGTCGGCAAACACCACACACAAAGACTTTACGTCTTCCTGTCACACACACCTGCTGCTGCTGTCTCTGGTGGTTAGCTTTCTGTTTGGCACGGCGCTCCAGGAACTGTCTGGCGAACTCTTTGGCTTCGACAGTGTCGCCCAGATAGGAGCAGATAAAGTTCAACACCTCATACGGAGACTCCACCTCCTTCAGGTACGCCACAATGGTGGGCACTACGAACACAAACGCACACTCGTTTTCCTGCTTGTGAACTCTCTGGGCTGCCAGGCTAATAATGTGTGTTTACTGTAAACATGTCTTGAAGTCATTTTTCAGAATAATCAACAGCCTCTGTTGCAGATGATGTCAAAAGAGGATTTGCATTTCAGATTATTTTATTGTAAATATAAAGCAATCCAAATGAGAGAAAGGCTGTTGTGTGCAAATCCTGAAAGAGAGACGTCTTACCATCCTGGGAAGAGGTGGAGTTATTGGCGGAGGTGTTGAGCGCATGCAGCATCTGTTCACACCAGGTGGTGAAGCCGTCCTGAGACTTCATCCCCTGCAGGAGCTTAAACAGCCGATCCTCCTCCTCAGTGCGTTTACGGCTCCTCATCATGTACTGCTCGCTGTACAAACACATGCTAACGGTTTACCTAGAACACACACTTTGGATTGTACAAGCATAACGCTTACAATAACAATGCCACGGTCATGGGTTCAATCACAAGATTGTTTTGCTTGTCCAATCATATAGGAAAATGTACATTTATGCAGAGATCCATGATTTTTCTAAGCCGTTTTTAAATTACCAATTTAAATGTTAAAGGAGTAGTTCACTTTTAAAAAAAACTTTTGCTGATAATTTACTCACACCCATGTCATCCAAGATGTCCACGTCTTTCTTTCTTCAGTCGAAAAAAAATTAAGGTTTTTGATGAAAACATTCCAGGATTTTCTCCATATAATGGACTTCAATGGGAACCAAACGGTTCAAGGTCCAAAAGACAGTTTCAGTGCAAACTGCAAACTGTTCAAAAAGCTTTAAATGATTCCAGATGATGAATAATCAAGCGAAACGATCGCTCATTTAAAAGAAACAAAAACTAAGTTTAAGTTTTATAAGCTCAAATGCTCGCCTTGCTCTGTTCTGTTTGTAACTCTGCTGTTCGAAGACGTTTATCAAATAAACAAATCTTTTTTTCGTGTCATTTGGTTCATTCAACAAACGTAATGAACGAGTTGACTCAGGAAAAGATTCGTTCATTTTGATGAACGAGTTCGAATAGGAGTCACGAACGTGCTTCACAGAACAGAGAAAGCGAGCGTTTGGGCTTATAAAACACACTTTGTTACTTTTTTTTATTAAATGAGCGATCGTTTCGCTTGATAAGACCCTTATTCATCGTCTGGAATCATTTAAAGCCCTTTGAACAGTTTGTAGTTTGCACTGAAACTGTCTTTTGGACCTTGAACCGTTTGGTTCCCATTGAAGTCCATTATAAGGAGAAAAATCCTGGAATGTTTGTCAAAAACCTTAATTTCTTTTCGACTGAAGAAAGAAAGACATGGACATCTTGGATGACATGGAGGTGAGTAACTTATCAGCAAAAGTTTTAAAAAGTGAACTACTCCTTTAAAAACAAAGTCGAACATTGCTGTGACTCATTTTAAAGCACCCATATTATGCAGTTTCATAACCATATCATATATCATGCAGTGTGTAATATAGCAGTTTGTGAATGCAAAAAGTCTGCAAAGTTTTAAAGATCAGTGCATGACAAATAAAGGTATTGTCTCCTAAAAGAAAGGATTGATTCTGAACTGTCGAAACGAGTCGTTAGTAACTGCAGTCTCTCTTCCTGTTAACTCCCAGATTTTTAATACATTCGCATAATGCCAGTCTACTGTCTTCATTGGCTGCCCGCAAACAAGGTCTACTTTAGTTTTATTCATTTAGCTGACACTTTTATCCAAAGCGACTTACAATTGCTATATATGTCAGAGGTCGCACGCCTATGGAGCAACTAGGGGTTAAGTGTCTTGCTCAGGGACACATTGGTGTCTCACAGTGGATTCGAGCCCGGGTCTCTCACACCAAAGGCATGTGTCTTATCCACTGCGCCATCACCACCATTCCAATCCTCAGTTGTAGCTGAGGATTGGAAAAGTTTGGTCCGTGTTGTCGACATGTCGAAATCTACTTTGCTGCACTTCCAATTGATGAGGACTCAAGAAGAATCACATTTTCTACTTTCAAATATTTACATAGATTATGCTTGGATTTTGAGTAAAAATAAAGTGTTACATTATAGAAAAATGGAGCGCGTCTCATTTACGACTATTAAACTGTCCATCCATGAAAATTGCTCTAAATATTGTTATAAGCCATTGAACGTATGTGGTTTGCTTGTGTTTACCTCAGTGAGGGACTGCTGCGGCTGTTCTTCAGCCCCATATTGTTGCGATGAGCGCTCTGGTTCTTGAGGGCCTCGTCCCAAACGCCCATCCCTCCTCCCGAGGGGCTTCCACCACCACCCACCTTTCCATCCAAAGACCCAGACGCTCCCCACAGCGAAGAGGAATCACTCCACTGCAGAGCGAGACATTTATAATGCATCATTTTGATTTTCAGGACTGCAAACCTGTGATGTTTGTATGTGCGTGTCGTACCCTCTGCTGTTGCTGGACTCTATGCTGCTGTTTGTGCATTCTCTCCGCCTCCGGCTGGATGTCCAGGAGGTTGTGGGGTTTGGTCTGCTTTCCCAGCCCAGGGATGGGTCCTCCGCTCCAGCCCGACCCGGAGCCCGAGGAACCCTGACGCGGAGCCTGCTGGAGCAACTTCATCAGCAAATCCTGCTGCTGGGAAACAGAAAAACAGCCATATGAAAAGAGTACGATAGAAACCAAAAAAAAAATTACATTTACACTACTGTTCAAAAGTTTGAAAGAAGTCTCTTATCTTTACTTGGACTGCATTCATTTGATTAAAAGTACAGCAAATGCAGTAATATTGTGAAATATTATTATTACAATAAAAACACAAAGATACTGTTTTCTATTTGAATAGATTTCAAAATGTAGTTCATTCGTGTAAAATAAAGCTGAATTTTCAACATCATGACTCCAGTCTTCATTGTCACATGATCCTTCAGAAATCACGCTAATATGCTGATTGGATGCTCTAGAAACATTTCTGATTATTACCAATGTTGAAAACTGTTGTGCAGCTTAATATTTTTGTGTGAAAATTGTGATATGTGATGTATAAGAGTTTGGTTCCAAAACGCTATAAATCCATTTTGATGAATTTGAGTAAAACTGTGTTTTCTTTAGCAAGAAAATGGGAAGATGAAAACCACTATTTTCTGTTTCAAATTTGATATTGTTATTTTATATTGTTATTATATTGATGAACAGCCTGTTTGAGTTTAAATGCAGTTTTCAATAAATTGCTCTACTCTCTATTTTTGTCTCTTGCTCCTGTTTCTTCTTTTGGCATTTTGAAGCAGTACTTACAACCCGGTTATGATACACCAGTGCAAAATACGAATACTTAAAATGTTTCCCCTGGTCTTAAGATTTTGTTCAAGAGTGCATATATTTTTTTTTTTGATGAATAGAAAGCTAAAAAGAACAGCATTTTTTTGAAATGTGTATATATATATATGAAGAGTTCAGATGCAAAAGCCTCTAAGTGCCATTTGAAATTTTCTTCTAGAATGATCATTTTTATCAAGCTTGTATATTTAAGTTCAGTGATTTCACTTAAATGGCAATGATAATTACCTATTAATTGTTATTTAAGTGAAATTACTGAACTTAAATATACAAGTTTGATAAAAATCATCATTAAAGAAGAAAATTTCAAATGGCATTTAGAGGCTTTTGCATCTGAACTCTTCATATATATATATATATATATATATATATATATATATATATATATATATATATAGCAAATGTAAAAAGTTTTTAATGCATCCTTGGTAAATAAAAGTATTAATTTCTTTAAAAATAATTAACTTCTCAAATTTTTAATGGTAATGTATTTGAGGTTATCTTAATAGGACACTATCACACCTGCTTGCGCCTATAAAGCTCCTCCTCCTCTCTCCTTTTCTGCTCTTCTCGCCTTTTTTCATCCCTCCGTTTCCTTTCCTCTTCCTCACGCTTGGCCCTGAGTTCAGCTTCTCTTCTCTCATGTAGCTGAGACACAACAGACAGCAGAGTTTTGAGTTCAGTGCATTTCCTCAGATCACCAGCAGAGGCCATCAGTGTCAACTCTTACCTTCTGAAGCTGTTCTAGAATTGGACCCTGAGTTGAAGAATTCATTAAGTCCCATAGACTGGCCTCACCGCCTGCTCACAGAAAAGAGAGAGAGGGCGAAAGAATGTTGTTTATTTTCCGGATGCGAAAAAAAGGGTGATTCTTAAAGTGCCCCGTTATGCTTCCGACCAATCAGAGCAGAGTAGGCTCATGGAAAGGAGGGGTTTAGAGACTGAATATTCAAAGAAACCACTCTAAGACTCCTTAAAGAAACGAGGTGATGTGTAACATATGAGAAAATGTGTGTTTTTTGAGCTTGGATGCATGTAAACGTATTGTAGGAGATCTCAAAAACAAAAGTAAGAACCTTTACAATAGCATAACGGGCACTTGTTATGTGTGAGTACCTGCTGGCTGTGAGGCTGAGGTATGCATGTCCCACATGGACCCTGTATCTGGCACTGACATCGACCTGTTTAACGAAGGCATCATACCCTGCTCTCCACACCTACACAGAAAAAAAGCAGTATTAGACATATGAAATGTACACAGTGGCACTGTAAAAAGACACAAAAACTCAATCACTCACCTGTTGATGAGCTGAAAGAGCTGCTGTTGCTGCTGGTAAAGAGCCGAGGCAGCTGCTAATTCCTGCTGCTTCTTCAGCCGCTCCTGATCCATATTACCCTGAAACACACAGAAAGGTCAATTACACGCATTAACCCATGACAGAGTGATCAGATACATGCATTTATTCATGAGAGAGACTTGCATGAACATTTACGCACACACACAGGTTATCTGCCTGTTTAAAGGAGTAGTTCACTTTTAAAAAAAACTTGCTGATAATTTACTCACCCCCATGTCATCCAAGATGTCCATGTCTTTCTTTCTTCGGTTGAAAAGAAATTAAGGTTTTTGATGAAAACATTCCAGGATTTTCTCCATATAATGGACTTCAATGGGAACCAAACGGTTCAAGGTCCAAATGAGAGTTTCAGTGCAGCTTCAAAGGGCTTTAAACGATTCCAGACGATGAATAAGAGTCTTATCAAGCGAAACGATCGGTCATTTAAAAAATAAATACAAAAGTTTAAGTTTTATAAGCTCAAATGGTCACCTTGCTCTGTTCTGTGATGAGCGTTCGTGACTCTCCTGTTCGAACTCGTTTATCAAAAGGAACGAATCTTTTTCCGAGTCATTTCATTCATTCAACGAACGAAATGAACAAACCTTTTTTCGAGTCAAACGAAATGACTCGAAAAAAGATTCGCTCATTTTGATGAACGAGTTCGAACAGAAGAGTCCCGAACGCGTGACTCTCTATTTGTTGTTTCTATCTTTTTGAAATGAGCGATCGCTTCGCCTGATAAGACCCTTATTCATCGTCTGGTGTCGTTTAAAGCCCTTTGAAGCTGCACTGAAACTCTCATTTAGACCTTGAACCGTTTGGTTCCCATTGAAGTCCATTATATGGAGAAAATCCTGGAATGTTTTCATCAAAAACCTTAATTTCTTTTCGACTGAAGAAAGAAAGACATGGACATCTTGGATGACATGGGGGTGAGTAAATTATCAGCAAAAGTGTTTTTAAAAGTGAACTACTCCTTTAAGGAAATCATGCTAGACATCAAGACTTATCAAGACCAATATAAAACACCCTGCACACAATCCATGTGAAAAATTCGCACACACATTTGCAAACAAGCTTATAACCACTAGACCTAAAATAAGAACTAATGAAGCAGAAAAACTTAACCCAGAATGCAAATAACCCCAAGTAACATAACTCCCCGACATTCACCCCTCCACCCAGAGACTCACGATTGCCCCCCGGGGTGGTTGAGGGCGAAGATGGGCTTGATTCCTCACCAGGAGGGGCGGAGGGGAGGGGCCAGGGGCAAAAGGCACACGCCCCCACATCTTAATGACTTCCCCCAGCGGCTGAAATCCCTCATCACAGCCACGTTTAACAAGCAGGTTCATGGCGAAATACCCCGCCTGAAACCACTCACACATTTCCACTGTACTGAACGGACCTGAGAGAGACGGAACAACAGACGGTGTTATAATCAAAGCACTGCTCCATATGCATGAGTTGACCTCCTGTGAGAGAGTGCGTGCGTACCCTGAATCTCTCCTTGCGGGTCTTTGTAAAACCATTTCATGGCAGAGTCATGGGAGAGAGGAAGAGCAGAGGCTGTGTTTCTGCTCTCCTGAAGAGTCTGGGTGAAACACTCTTCCTCTAGAGATGTATCCTGCAGCGCTGCCACCATCTTCTCTGCCTCCTACACACATAAATCTCCATCAAAAACGTTTTCGCTATAATGTAAGTGTGCTTATAAACAACGTAATTTATCTAAATATGGGACAGATTCTGCACTAGGGCTGGGTAGACACAATTTTCACAATTTCGATTCGATATTGATTATTTTGGATATCAGTTACAATAAATGGCAAATTTCTCAAGGGAATCAAATCTCTTAACTAATGCTGTAAACTATGGGAGTCTAGTTGTAGCCAATAGGCTTCATTAGCCTAATATGAAGGTAATAATTTTAGCTATACAAACACTTAAATTACACTTTTATTTATTTTTATAATAAGAAGATTATATGAAATATAAACATTTAAATGGTGGCTGTCATAAAAACTTGCCAGATTTATTCAAATATGCATTAAATATTGAAGAACATTAAGATTATAATGCATATGTAATATGGTGTATATATTTAGCAAAATGCTCCTCTCTGGGGTTATTTTTTTCTAGCTGACTAACGAGTTTATGTGGGTTTTCAGAGGTAAATATGACGATGACATTGATTATAAGCTGTTTAACTGACGTCTTTCCACGGTTGAAATGCTGATTGATTGCATGATACGGATTTCGACAAGTTGTACTCTATGTTTTAACACACTTTCAGATGCTCATTCATGTTTATTTCTCGCTGTGACTGGTATTATTAAGCCGGAAGAGAGATCAGCGCTGCTGCTTCTCATCAGCTGCGCCAGAGCGATCTCACGCCACAGCGCCAAAACTCTATTTATGTTTTTGAATTTCTAAAGAAAATGGACGTAATTTGAAAATTGAGACTTTGTTTCATGTCAATAGTAACAAAGGACAAAGATTGTTGCGATTTCTTTGGATGCGCGCAGCCGCGATACAATGTTCCATTCATTTAAGTGAAACAGGATGACTAATCGATTCTTGAGATTTAAGAATCAATATCGGTTCGTAAAAATGAGAATAGATTAGTATCGAGAAATCGATATTTATTACCCAGCCCTATTCTACACATTTTGTGCATTTGTCGATTTATAGTGTTAATCCAGGTTTCTATAGCCCATTTTCTCTCCGACTAAGATTTAAACAGACAGTTTAACTATTGCACATTTAAAGGGCACCTATTATGGAAAATTCACTTTTACATGGTGTTTGAACATAAATGTGTGTTGGCAGTGTGTGAGCAAAACCACCCTAGAATGATAAAAATCCACCCAGTGGTTTTTTTACAATCTCAATAAATTATATGCACTGCCTCAGAACGAGCTGTTCTGAGATTCAGCTCTTTGTGACGTAGAACGGGAGACAGGGGGTTGATTGACAGTGTGGCTGTGGCCTAGACCCCGCCCTCGGTGATCTGTACACATCATCCTCCATTACCTGTTATGTCTCTTGGAAACATAAGTGTTCTGTCGTGGACTCGTGGGTTAATCCTGTTGTTGTAGCTTAAAAGTTAATCCTCAACTGTGGATCGTCATCTACTGTTTGCGATCCACCGTCACATCCAGTAACAGTAAGTGTGTTTTATGATTTTTGAGCAAATAGTCTTTTCAGTCAATGTCAGCCAATTCAACAACAAATGCGTCTAAAGTTGTTGTCGTCGTAGGATGTCTGTGTAGGCTATAAAATTTAAACCTTGTTTGTATAGTGTGTAACCATACGTTTATATATATTTAAAGATATTGTATTAAAAACTGCATATATGTTGTTGTTCTGTATGTTAGCCATCTCCTCACATTTGCCACATAAGCACCCGTATGGCAAGTAAACATGACGCCACAGGTCCCCGTCCCTCGCATAAATGTAATTTCGCTTGTACGTAGCAAACTTTATCACAGTATGTGTATGTAATATCAAAAAAATATGCGCTAGCATTAGTGTTTATGTGTGTCTGTGTGTGTGTGTGTTACATGCCCATCATTTCAAAGGGAACACGATTACAACGCTAAAGTACATAAATGTATCAAATAACCATACCGAGACGTACTGGTCCATTCTCATTTGTGTTTATTCTGCCGGAGTCTCTTCGTGCTATTTATATATTTCGATTCAAACGTACGCTGAATGACATTCAAAACAGCGCGTCTCTCACTCTCTCAGCCCTTCTGCTTACCGACTGCCATAGGTATCAAGTTACGCCCTCATCCAAAGGCAGGGAGGGGATATGCAGCTCATTTGCATTTAAAGCCATATACCTCCGAAACAGGTCATTTTTAAGCAGGCCCCAAAATGACATTTTCAAATGGTTATAATAAATTAACTGTGGGGTATTTTGAGCTGAAACTTCACAAATACATTCTAGGGACACCAGAGACCAATATTACATATTGTAAAAAGGGGCATAATAGGTGCCCTTTAAGACCTCTGTTTGTTGTGAAATGATCCTCTCCTATGTGAAATGGTTAAAGGTGCAGTATGTAATAGACAGCTAGTGGTTGAAATAGGAACTACAGTCCAAATTCAAAATATTGAAGAGTTGCTTCTAGTGTTGTCACGGTACCAAAATTTCAGTATTCGGTACCAATACCAGTTAAAATTCACGGTTCTTGGTACCAATTTCGGTACCAAAGCTTAGTTTAAATCTACATATATTTAAGTGTTTATCACGGTTACAAGTATGGCAACTGTACATTTGTATTATAAACACTTTAGAAAAAGATTAGATAAAATGACCTAAAATAAACAATATAGTATACACTAACACATTTTTAAAGTTGTTTGTAAAGTTTTAATCCATTATTTATTTAATGCACAATGAATTAAGTGAACAAACATGAACAATCAGGTGTTTGTAATAAATAACATTTTCAAACATTAATTAATGTTGTAAAAATATATTGTTCACTCAATGTGTTGATAACTAAGTAATGTTGATGAATGGTATCTTTGTAGCATTACCATAAAACATGTTTTATTTGACTTGACTGTCCTTTTATTTAATCTAAAACTGCATTCATATTTAATTTTAAAAAGGCTTTTTAAACCTGCTGAGTTATAAAGGCAAGAATACGCCTAGAACTGGCACTGACATTAAATGACAATACTAATACCAGTAGTACTCTGGTGTCGGGTAGATACTACTGTGCTCATGTACTCGTAAAACTACCCCGAAAGCACTTTAGAGGCCGTTCACATGTCGCGCGTGTTTTTTAATTATATTTTTGCGCGTGCTTATTCTTTCCAAAGCGCTTGCTCTCACGCGGCGTCTGTCGTTGCTATGCAACGCCAACGAGTTTTTATTATGAGCGCGATTGAATCGCGCCTATATTTGAAATTGCGAATTTGCATGTAATCGGCCTCTTATGGCAACGTGACATTAGCCTAATCCAAAATATTTCCATATGTGGCTCTTTCCTCCTTTCGTTTCAACAAGTGGATTCAGAGAGAGAGCCATATCAGCGTTATAAAGAGGACGCAACTGTGCACGTTTCAGACATCGTGTCTAGAACAGAACTGGATTAACCTGGTACTCGGTGCCTAGAAAAGCTGGTACCGTAACATTTTTTTTTTTTTAGTACCGACTTGGTACCGAAGTACCGAGTTTTTTGACAACACTAGTTGCTTCTCAACCATTATCCACGGGATCAAATCACACAGGTTGCCAGATTGAGGGCATGTAACAGAAACGATTGCATTTAATAACTAACCCGATGGGTCTTGCACTATAAGCTGATCGGCTAATGTATACGTTTGCAATGTTTTTATTGCTAAGACTTTTTAGGTGGGGCAGAATCTGCAATCTCAGACAGTTTGTTTGCTGGATTTCATTGCAGTGTTTGCCGCCAACTGGCAACCCGGCATGTCTGATTACTATTGGGTAAATTGGCAGGGGGCGGGATCACAGAGATAGACATTTCAAAATAAGAATAACTGGATTTAGCATTACTTCACTTAGAAACAAGTATTTGACATATTATGGTGTTTTTATGCTTAATGACCAGTTTTAACCTTTCAACATTTAAATTCTGTAAAATTTTATATTATCTGATCTATTACTCTCAAAAGTCATTTTCTGCGGTACCTGTTGCAGGTGCTTCATGCCCTCGTCATCCTCAATATCACCCCCCGGCAGTGGGAGGTCAGTAGCAGCAGAGGACGAAGAGGGAGGCGATGAAGGCAGACTGGAGGAGGCACTGGGGCTCAAATCTAACATGGCCTCTGATAACACTGCAAAAAAGACAACAAAAATTAAGCGTCACCCATTCATACAGCTGTAGGATAATCGATTTAAAGGCCGTGTTGCAGGTTAACCACCACTGTCGATTAATGGGTACATAAATCACTCAAGATATGTATATTATTTTTAAAATTTCTCAAAAATGGGCTTAAAGGCCAATTTTTTTATGTTTTATGTTTTTGGTATTAATGTTTTTGCTTTTTTACGCAATTCTGTGATGATGTCAGGTTGAGGAGAAGTGGAGAAAAGGTAGCCACAGCCTAGTATTAGCTCACTCCGCGACCTGACGTGGCGTGCCTCGCCAGTGTCAATCTACATACTGTATATTTCTATCTATTTATCTATCTAACTGCTAGCTATCTAAGCTAACTGGATGTATGCCTACACTCTTAGAAGAAAAGGTTCTATATAGAACTTTAATAGTTTCTATCAGCGCTACGTATTTGGAACCCCTAAAAGGTTCTATACAGGACCCTTTTTAAGCGTTCAATAATAAAAACCATTTAGGGTTCTTTGCAACCATGAAAAAGGTTCTATATGGAACCTTTTGGGTTCATTCATTATCATTTGTTTTGTCCTTTCCGGATGAAATATTTCAGATTATTGACAAACATCAAGACCCTAAAATGTATTTATGAATGCATGTGTACAAATTCTTTTGTACCTTACAAATGGCAAATAAAACTTTTAACTTTGAAAGATGACAAAATTCAAGACATGGGGGTTAGAAACTGTATATTTATATCATTTTGATTTGATTTTGATTTATATCAGCATGATTGAAATGTGACATTAAGTTACTACAACAGTGTAATAAACAATAATTTAATTACAACTACAAAATGTTGCAGAATAATGTAATATAATTATAAATAATAGCCTTAAAGAACCCTATGCTTCATATATAGAACCCCAATGAACCCTTTTTTCTCTCTCTCTCTCTATACATCTAGTCTATCTAGATCTTTACATTTATCTATAATCTGCGCTGAATACTCTCGTCTACAACTCGTCTCTCTAGTCACTCTCAATGCTCTCAAGGCGGGCTTTGGTAAATTCACTCCCCAAGGTGATGTAATGCAATGCATTGTGGGGTAAAAGGAGAATCGTTGCAAACCGCTATAAGATAGTACCTAACCCTTTTTTGTATTATATTCCATTTTGTGATACCCAACAACATAAAATACAATAGATAACAGTTTAAATGTTTATTATGTTTATTAATTAATGTTTATTTAAATGTTTATTGAAAGCAAATTGCACAATCCGTTGAAAAAAATAACCCTGTAACACGGCCTTTAAAAAAAATAAAATTTACCTTCACTTGGTAATTTGTTGGGAATGGAGGGGACAGGCTGAGGCTCCTCCAGACCAGAGGGGGCAGCAGAGGGCAAAGCCTCAGGGACAGGAGCAGGAAGAGAGGGAGGGAGAGAAGGAGGAGGAGGAGAAGGAGAAACCGCTTTCACTTCAGTTTCAGACACTGGAGCGAAGTCAATGACATCTGTGGAAACCAAGATAGATATACTTATAATCATGATTTAAAAATGTTTTTATCTCAGACAACTTCAGAAGTAAACTTTGAACTTTGTGTCAAGCGTTTATCCCCCCCGCCATTTCTGTTCCCACCTTTCTCGTTTTTTACAGCACCGATGCCGTTATTCTTCTCTAGATTAGCACAGTCCTCTTCCTCATCCTCCAACCCCTGGAACTCAAACTCCTCTTCTTGGATGGGGTCTTTCGGACCCTTCTAGGACAACAGAAGAGCAGGAAAAGGTAAAGAAAAGAAAACCATAGATCAGAAGTCAAGTCAAGTTTTATTTATAGAGTTTAACACAACCTAACAATAAAATAAATCAATAACAATAACGAGAAAAGCTGAAATGGAGATAAAAATCAGGTCTCAAAATCATATACACATACATACATAACGTATACCAATTAATTTAACACACATACACACTGCATCCCTCGAACGCAAGGGTCAAAATAGGTCTCTCTCACCTTAATACACATAAACGCTCCAGAAGAATCAAAGGTTCCCATTTCTCCATCTTCCTCATCAGTGCACCACTCTGGCAGACCGTCTCGTTCATCTTCTGCTCCATCGCTGCCGGCTCTCCTTCTGCCTCCCTCATTCCCTCCATCCCGGAAGTCGAAGTCGAACTTCCTGCGGCGAAGGGGTTCACCTGGACCAGTGTGTTCCCGCCAACCAGCCGAGCGAGGACCACCGTCTAGAGAGTTAATCAGAGAGTTCGTTTTTTGGCCAGAATATCAAAGTTTTTGGATGAAAAAACAAAGCCAGTTTTGGCAGGAGCTTTAATTCAGCCATTTTTTGATTATGCTTGTGGTGCACGGTACAATGGTCTCACAGTAAACCTGAAACATAGGCTTCAGACGTCTCAAAATAAATTAATAAGGCTAATTTTATTAATTCCAGAACTCATCTGGAATCTTCCCACTTTGAAAGGGTGTGATGGTTGAAAGTTGAGGATCGAGCTGGGTATGGTACATAAAAGTGTTTATGGAGATGTTCCTAAATATTTTAGAAATTATTTTAATGGAGTAGACGAAGTTCACAGGTACTCCACTAGGGGTAGCTCAACTGAGTTTGTACCCCCCAGATTTAATACAAATTTGGGCAAACAGTCTTTTCTTTATGTTGGAACTACCCTTTGGAAATCGGTTACCTGGTGCACTGAAGACAGTAAGAAGTATACGTAATTTTAAACAAGGTCTGAAATTATGGTTTAGGGGCCAAATGTAGTTTTTATAATACCAAAGCTTATTTTTCTGTATAATATGTATGAATTTGGTTAATGTATGATGTGTCGCCACTTGACTTCTTCCGCTGCCTTTATAAGGGACCACAATGGAAATAAGTCTTCAGGCTTTATTGTGTTATCCCTGACTACTTTTGTATTTGATTTCAATGTATGAAACAGTTTCTTACTGTTGTTCATATTTTTATATTTAAGTGGTCAAATCAAATCTAGGAAAAGCACAGAAGGTCTGTACAATTATTCATGTTATTTAAAAAGTATTATTCTCACTCTGCATCGAGTTTGTAGTAAAAATATACTGTTGTTCTCATAAATTGTCATACTTTGACACTGTGCTAAGCTAAAAACGGTTAGCATTTTAGCATCAGTTTTGTTTATCAGTATCAGGTGGCAAATAAGTGAAATAGTTCCTTTTGTGTGCAATGGTGTGATTCATCTGCTGAAAAAATAGATGAATTTGACATCGCATTATTTATTTTTTCAAGATTTCTTTAGATATCGCTTGAAAAACCTGATATTGTGACACCCCAAATTGTGAAATATTATAACGTTTTCCTTTTATTGTCACTTTTGATTAATTTAATGTGTCCTTGCTTAAGAAAAGCATTAATTTCTTTAAAAAAACAATAAGTTGTGTGTGTATAACATTACACAAGCTCTGTTTACACATGATGCATCTAAGGAGATCCACAAACAAGTGGTCAGCCAAGAATTAGGGTGTGTCTCAATCCACTCCCTAGTTCAATAGTTAGGACACTGATGATAGAGACAGAACTAAAGGCCGTCTCAATCTCAAAACTCTTTCAGTGCATTAAAAAGTCCCACAATGCACTGTGAAAGAAGTTATTTAATTATATTTCAGCATAAACATCCATCACTAGACAAGTACTTAATCTAGATGCATTATAATTAATTTACAGCTAAAAAGTTGCAGGTATTTGTAAGAATCAAAGTATTTATTATAATATACTTTAAATAACATTAGAAATATGAATGTCTTAAAAGTATCAGTTCTGCTGTTTTTCATAAATACGTCGTCATGTTACTATAAGTGTCCAAATGTGTAATGAGCAAAGGTCCTTACCAGTGCCCGAATTCGACCTAGGAAGTTGATTGAGACGCACCTCAAGCTTTAACTAGGGGTTTTCCCAATGTAAAATAAAGTTAATAAATACTTTGTAAATATTAATCTTTATGGTGAACCATTTCCTTTTAATTCCAAGTGTAAATGTGTGTTGTGTAATGCGTTACCTTCTCTTCGTGAGCCAGTGATTCTCCAGCTGCCGCCAGCCTCCGCCGCTTCCTCCTCCTCCTGCTCCTCTCTCAGTGTGCGCCAGTTGTCGCTATCAGAGCGCATGAACTCCTTCCTGCCAACTGGAGCCGCTTCCTCAAAACCCAAACGCGCACCGTCCCTCCGCAGAGGTTTCTCAAAGCGCCGCTCACTTCTGCAGAGAAAAGAGAGAGAGCGCGCTTATCAAGATGGCTTATGATTTGCTTCAGTAGGCCTCTTAATCTAGAATGTGTGCGGATAAAATTAAAAGGATTTTCATATTTATCGAGATGAGAGTTAAATAAACAAACTGCGAGCACAATAATGGGAATACCACAAAAATATATACTATAAAAATCTTGGTTTTAACATGACGTAAAAAAACGTTAGGGAAAGTAAATCGTTTATATAAAACCGATTTACTTTCCCTATCATTTTTTTATGTCATGTTAAAACCAAGTTTTTATATTATATTTTTTGTAGTTTTTATTTATTTTATTATATTTATATAAATATAATAAAATAAAATAAAATAATTTAAAAAAAATGTCAAAACATATATATATACACACACACACATATATATATATATATATATATAAAAAATTGTTCATTTTGAAAAAAATTTGTTTTTTATTATATTTTAGTATATATATATATATATATATATATATATATATATATATACACACACACACACGCATGTATATATTTAATAGATTATGTACTTATTTATATACCGTATTTCCATGTAAATTCTTAAATATATACATGCATGCATATGTATTTATATATATATATATAAATATATACACACAATATAATTATACACAGCACACGCACGTTATGTAAACACAAAATTATTTATTTTGAACGCGATTAATCGCAATTAAGCTTTGCACAGCCCATATATATATATATATATATATATATATATATAAGCTGTATATACACACACATACACATATATATATATATATATATATATATACACATATACACACACACACATACACACACACATATATATATATATATATATATAAACACACACGTTAACTAAATAAAATTTTAAAAACACAACACAACAATAAGAATACCTGTCATCCCAGCTCTGGCTGCGATGGATTTCTCGAACGCTACGACCAAACCCGCCCTCTACTTCCTCACCGCTTCTTTGGTAGAATCCGCCCTCTCCTCTTCCTCGACCTAAACACACGACCTAAACTTCAGCATCTCCGCCAACACATGAATGATTTACACACACGTACACATAAATAGATCAGCTTGCCTCGACCACCTCGCACAGTGCCTCTACCTCGAGTCACCCCAGCTGGAGCGGCTCCGCCCCCTTTACCCATAAGCCTCAGCACAGCCACACTGTTGACAGACATGGAGAAATTCCTCTGCAAAGAAAAAATACACAAGGAATGAAACCAGGACCTCGCCAAAAACAAGATCGGTGTAGATAAAAATCACTGTAGTGCCAAAGGAGCTTTTAGATATATTTGCAAGGTGTCTGACTAATTTGACATATTTTTCAGAAGTTGTAAACACACACACAGTCAAACCAACATTTATTCAGACACCTTGCTATCCTCACTTAAATAAATTAACTATAGTACCCTGCATCAATTAGTAAAAAAATCTGTGTGTGTGTGTGTGTGTGTTAACAACTTCTGAAACATATTTCCGCCCCACCTCGGATTATTTTCACAGGATAGTGTGTGAGATGCATGTGTAATCAGCCAGACGTGTAAGTGTGCACTTCTCACCTGCTCCTCTTCAGTGAGAGCCAACAGTGCCAGTGGCTGTTGAGGCTCATCCTGCAGAATAGTAGCGAACTCCTTATCCTGCATTTCTTCAGGGACCTGAAAACACGCACACACACGACTAATGATTCAATCTACTGTTGCAAAGACTCACAGAAAATATCAGTAAATTCACACTTGAATTTGGACAGAGAAACATGAAAGGTCTGGACTGTGGTAATCGGAGTCAGGCTTAACCCTTCTCAAATATTTGGTACAGCACATTTGGAGCAAATTCTCTTAAAAGGGCATCTAGGGAACACCACACGAACTGAATCAATGCACAAAAGGGCCTTTCCTTAAGGCTGTTTGAGAAGTGTACATTACATTACTGTTCAAACGTTTGGGCTGGGTATGATTTGTTTTTGAAATAATTTTCTGATGCTCACCAGGGCTGCATTTTCGAAAAAAAAATAGAGTCAAAACAATAATATTGTGAATATTATTACATCTTAAAAAACCGTTTACTATTTTAATAATAATTTAATTTTAATTTAAAAATGTAATAATTTAATTTTAATTTAAAAATAATAACATGATCTGAATAACACGATCCTTCGGAAATCATTCTAATATGCTGATTTGATGCTTAATGTGCTGATAAATTATTTTTGTGGAATCATGACACTTTTCTTTTATTAATTTATTAGCATTATTAATTTAACAGCATTTTTTTTAAATGGATATCTTTTGTAACATTATGATTAGTGTTGAAAAAAAATCAATCTACAATTGCATCTAACATAAGTTTTAGGGGTGGTTAATCTGTCTGATTTCCCGATTCGATTCGATTACGATTATTGAAGTCCCGATTCGATTACAGTCTATTTTCGATTATTAACGATTCTCGATTACCGATTATTGATTTTCCATTTCACAACAGTAAACGAAAATACACTAGATCAACATATGATTATATTAGCAGCAGCAACATTTTGGTATTAATTGCACTTTTTATTTGTTTGATATTCATTGAAAATATAATGATGGTTAGTGAGGACATGCAAACATGCTTGTTGTCTACTACTTAGGCAACTCATTATCTTTACATTTATTAACTTTAATTTTTTTTTCAAAAACAATTTTGTTGCATTATAATGCAAATGCACCTGGTTCTATTAATTGACAGCATTAAAATGTATTTTGTGATTTCCTTCAATTGAAAATATTTGAAGCAAGTTTGGGGGACTTGAAGGGCACCCGATTCAGAGAATCACCCAAAAATTCAAAAGAACAGCATTTATCTGAAATAGAAAGCTTTTGTAACATTAAACAATACCGTTCAAATGTTTGGAGTCGGTAAGAATTTTTATTTAATTTTTTGGGCAAAAGAAAAAAGAAATCTATACTTTTATTCATCAAGGATAAATTAAGTTGATCAAAAGTTAAAGTACAAGACATTTATAATGTTACAAATCGATTATCTGAATAATGACCCATAAAGAATTAATGCACAATATATTTTATTAACATTACAAAGAACGACCAGGAAAATAAATGTGTGCTTGAACTAGGAGCATACTTGTAGTAAATAAATAATATAACGACTGGTGCAGCCGAGTGTTTTTCCTCCTCTGGCTGGAAAGGTGTCATATGGCTTATCGTATTTGTCGTGTTTCCGTCGTTGGTTTTATTCCACAAAGCGTACAACTAGTGCGGCTCTTGTCCAGCTCCTTTTCCCCTTCAACTTCAGAAGCCAAAATATTTCCACACGTCAGCTTTTAAACTAACAAGGAAAGTGTTCGGATCTCGCGTGCCATCTCATCTCTGTTAAGTGCACGCCACAGACGGTCCGGCCACTGCACTTCCGCGCTTCAGAGTTACGTCTTTCGCGTTCCGTCTTTCGCGTTCCGTCAATATTACGTTACTATAAATACATATAAAAAAAATAATATTTTTTAAATCGATTTTTTGACATTTGTGAATCGATTCAGGATCGTCCACGTCCGCATCGCGATGCATCGAGAATCGATTTTTTTCCCCACCCCTAATAAGTTTGCAAATGTGTATTAATTTTTGTTATTTCCATCCTAAGGAAAGTGAACATTAAGTTTGCACAAAGGTAACATGGCTACGAACTAGTCAACTTTTAGAGGTAACAATCAAATCAATTTGCTTAAATACAGAAGAAAAGTAAAATAGAAAAAAAAAAATCTTCCACAATACTGGTCAGGGATGTCGACGATCGATCAATTGTCGATAATCGATAAAACGTACTCAACCGTGAAACATGACCATCAGCCTTTTGTTTTGTGCAAATGTAAGTTGTAATATTGTGTTTATTTTCCGTAGGCATATCTATATCTGATTTGTCTCATATAGGATGCATTTGGTTACAAATTAACAGCTCAAACGGCAATGCACGACTAATAATGACTATGATCATATTACATGACATTTTAAAGAGAACAATATTGTAATAAAAAACACAGTGAATTATTTGGGTTTCGTTGCCGTGTTTCATCGCGTTGCTCAAGGAAGAGCGCGTCCACAACATGAGTCGTTCTGAACGGCACGTAACTTCGTTCAAGTTCACTTGTGCATTTGCGTAATTTTGTGCACATATAATTTGTTTTTTTATTTTGTATATATCTGATTAATCTCATATAGGATGCTTTTCTTTGAGTTAAATAACGCAAAGCGCTCCAGTTCACAGGTGTTCATTAAGTGCACGGCTCAAACAGCAATTAGTCGTTATATTTGATTATTAAAGCTACACTGTGTAACTCTTTTAGTTTATTCTTAGCTAAAAACACTTAGTTCCTTCAAAAATATATGTGCTCATTAATGTATATTTACTTCGTTCAAGTAATAAAGTATTCTCGTGAGTGTATAATATGCCATTGAAAATACATACGGGTAAGGGGTTCTAATGTCGGTCGCCATGTTGCCCCTCCATCTTGAAAGTACATTAGCCAAAGAGGGACATACCCGTTAATTCAAGCTTCGCCTTTACGTTTGAGTTAACACTCATGGACGAGGTCGATCTGGAAGCCATGTTAATCTTGGACTACATTGGCCACCGTAGGAGTTAAAACGAAATCGGAATTGAGAGGAACAGAAACTAATATTCACTGGATGGTCACCGCTAGATGGGGGTAAAAATCACACAGTGTAGCTTTAAATAAGTAATTTAATTAAATGATCAATAACATCGCAACATTTTACAATCCAACCAGCCATTTAATTAATTAAAAACCCTCTCATTCATTTGGTGAGCAACATAGCGATCTGAGCAGCATTTGCACACCCTGTCCTGCTGTTAGCCAACTATTAATCGATTAATTGATCGTTGATTTAAATGATGATCGATTATGGGAATTTGGGAAATTTGACATCCCTAATACTAGTCCTACATAGAGACTGGATTTCTTAAAGACCTTTCAAACACATTAAAAAGCATTTGCATCAAATAAATATGCTTGGTCAATGTCAGTGCACACTGAATATTTCCTCTGCAACAAAATAAACTATTATCTTAAGTCTCTACAGTCTATTTTTGTTGCAACAGAGCTCTGGCACTGCCGTTGCCCATGGAAACCTTTAAGACTTTTGTCAGTACTGGAAAGACATTTTTTGCATTTTCAAGTCGACCAGTGCAAACATGCACTTGACACACTGTGTGTTAAACCTCAGGCCATGTGAACTGCACTAAAAATGTCCAAAAAGAGACAGTAAGAACAGGTTAGAGAGGTTTACTGTTCAACAGCATACAAACAAACAGTACAGAGTGAAAAAAAGTCTAAAAAGGGGTTTTCCTGCATTAAATACTTAAATTCCCCAATTTTTGCAGTATTGTAGCCAATCACAGACATATCTGTGGAACGTGTGAAGGCAATGGCCAATCAGATGACTTTAAGCCTAGTTCACAGTCACACTACATGATTTTAAAACGTCAGGCTGAACTGTACGGCTCACACTACATGACTGACAATGTTGTTAGTTGATTTAAATCGGACAAACCAGTGACAAGGACCTCAAAATATCAAATTATAAGCTGATGAAACCGTACTATGATATTCAGACATGTAATAGCACACTGAATGCTGGGATATCACCTAGGCTTAAAGATCTGCGACGCGTCAGACATTACATAATCACGCTGGACGTAGGCTGTAGAATTGTTTGCAAGCGTGGAGGAGGAGGATCGTTCAAATTTTATTGTATGTTGAAGACATATTTATGTCTGTCAGTTTATTGTTTAAAATGGTCCTTTCGTCTGGATGTTTAAAATAATGGGGCGGTACTTCCATCTCCGACTTACGTACCTTTTGAACGCGATTACGTACTACCTGGCGTGTCGCAGACCAGCACAAGCGAACAATTGTGTAAAAAGTATATATATTTTACGTTTTTTTTTTTTTTTTAGAAAATGACCGATGGTTTCGCAACCACACTAACAAACACTACCAATCAAAAACCCTACAGAGTGCCGAAGTTACGACGCCACTCTGTAGGCCGAAACGCGGAAGTGAGTTAGCATTTTAGCACTACGGTTCCCTCGCTCTAAAGTCTATGGGATTTTTGAATGGGTTTTTGCTAAATCGCCTGAAATAAGGTCTGTGGTGAACAAAGCCTCTAAATATTTTCACGTTTTGATCTATGACATAAAACAGACAGTTATAACCTGCTTGTGGTTTTTTAAACTTTATTGTGTCTGATTGTGTTTTTTAAAATCTTTATATAGGCTTCAAAATGTGTAAGTTTTGGATTAACTTGTAAAGATTCTCTTGCTAGACAAAACGTGTAAGTGTCACTACTCTTTGTTAAACACAGATCTTATTTTTTTGCGATTTTCCAAAAGTCTATGGGGAAAATGCATTGCTTTTCGATCGAGGGAACCCATGCGCCGCTAGCTTCCGAGTTGTCCTACAAAGTGACGTCATCACTTCGGCACTCTATTCTTCAAAGCCCTTTGAAACCTAATTGACTTGGACTTTAACAAGTTTATTGTGTCGAGAAAGATTCTGAAATGTATTCCTCAAAAAACGTTATTTCTTTTCCACTGAAGAAAGAAAGACATGAACATCTTGGATGGCATTGGGGTGAGTAAATTATCAGGAAATTTTCATTTTGAGGTGAACGAATCCTTTAAAACTATGCTAACAAAAACAAGATTTGTTTAAAGCATTTTCCCACCTTGTTGTCTTTGACATAAAGTGCTAGCATCTCCTCTCGGCCGTAACGGTACTCGGCCAACTTGTACTTTGGCATAGCAGGAGAGGCAGGAGGGGAAGACACACTGCCTCCACTGGAAAGTGCTCGAAGCCTGAGAACGAGAGAGATACAAATCAGCAACAATCTGGAGGCTTCATTGAGAAATGCTCCAGTCCTGGCTATCGTCCAAGGACGGCACATCCCGACTCTATCCACAAGTTTCCTACGCCCCATGAGGCCTTGCGTCAAAAGTGGGCGCGACTTCCGGTTGGAAGTAAACAAAGCGCGATTTGACATGCTTGACACTCGTTCATTCAACAGTTGACAGTCAATCAAGTTATAGCGATCCAAACTAGCTAACGATGTGGGAACACAACCTCAACGAAATTCAAAAGGGTGAAATAACAGTACCTTTACCCTCCGCAGTAGTTGGTTGGGAGTATTATAATAACATTATTAATAATCAATATTCATCAAGGCATGGTGACAGACAGTTGTGTGAGCTGACAAACAATTAAAATTAAAAATACACACTTAGTCATTGTGCTTTGGAGTTTATTCAAAATTATAAATGAATGTGCTACTGGAATACATTAACTGGCACATTTGATATTCTGTCAACACAGGCTTTGATCCTGAGTTTAGGTGTAACATCAGTAGCGAACAGCCAATCACATGCTGAGAGAGTTTATAGAATATTAAGAATTTAAACAAATGTACACAGGAAGATTCGTCGTCTTTTGGGAGGTGATGGAAACTACAGTCGTTGGCAGGATCACTCTGATTTCGTTTTCGGCTTATGTTCAAAACAATCACGTTTAAGCCACTGAATTAGTTTAGTCCGGTTATACATACAACTGCGAACAGCACATGTTGTCCCTGAGCTCCGTAACGACATCTCTCATAAAGATTTGCGTCTTTAAATAGTAAAATAATTCTCCGAAAAACAGCTAGCCTCTTCGCTAACTAACACACATAATACCATTGGAATGCTACTTCCGCCGCCTCACCGTAAGTTTCACCCACTTTATTTTTTACAGGAGCGCCCCTCGGAAACTTGTGGATAGAGAGTCCCGCCCCTCCGCTTTCGGCTCATGGGACCTTATTTCGGAAAAAATATGTATGGTAGTCAATGGCGAGAGACAACTTATCTTTTTATTCCGTCTGAACAGTGCCCTCAATTACACATATGATGTTTGTCAATTTAAAAGATAATTCTGAAAGTCAAAAACATCGCAGTTTGTCACAAAACAGAAGAATAACATTTAGTTTTATGTGGAAATCGCTTAACAACGAGCGAAACAACGAGTGAGACACTAAAGACTGGAGTAATGATGGGGGGAAAATGGAAATAATACTAACATCTTACAGACACCAAACTTTTGAACTATAGTGTATGTTTTGTAATATTTTATTTGAGAAAAACAGGAAAATCAAGTGGCTGGAGCTGCTCCGTGTCAGATATTGTTTATAGGAACACAGCTCTGTTGATTATAATGGGAGAGAGATCTGCTTTTGTTGTGTGTCAGTCTCACCAGAGTTGTTGTTCTGACAACTTTACTCAGTGCTGGCATTATCCCGCCTCGCTCCTGATTTAAACCCTGCAGCTTTTAGAGGCCAGAGCAAAAGTTGTTTTTCCTGCCTGAAATCACTTCTCAGCGGTGGACGGGAAACATGTGAAACGGCACCGGCTGAGGCGCCTTTGTCGGAGGAAAAGGGGTTGCAGAGCTGTTGGTGGCTTTGTAAACTTTACATAAATACAACCCTGCCGAGATAAGCTGATGAAGAAGGCTTTGAGGCAACATACCACCCCTGCATTGTACATGTCAAACCCAGGAATTCACTTTTGCTGGCCGAGGACCAACTATGCACAGAAGAGCCTTAGTTCAGCAGAGAACCACGCCTAACGGTTTAATTTCTGCATAATCATTTAGTGTGTGCCAAGAGGAGATACAGGGAGAGAAGGGGGCTGGGAAACAGGGAATGGCGAGAGCGAGAGAGAGAGAGAAAGAGGGGGGAAGATGGTTATGAGTATTATTCTAAGATATTATGATTAGCTCATAGCATGCTAAGTGGCGGTTTTGAAGGTCACTGCACTTGAATGGAAAAATATATTACTATAAATGATATACATAGAAGCTATTTTAGCCAATGTGCCAATGTTTTTTTCTCTCTTTTTTGCACATTGTATTGCATTAAATCTCTCTTTATAGATTTTCAGATTCAGCGAATTCAAACGAATCAAAAGTCCACATTGAAAATCTGGTATTCAATATGTAATTTTAAGCTTGAAACAAAAGGGCACAATTTTTAAACATTTTAAACAAAGAAACACAAGATGTAAAAATGATGGTCAGATTATCTTGGTTCCACTAAAGCACAATATGCACAAGTTAGTGTGACAGCATTATATTTACTAACGCAACCCTTAAAACCCTGGTGCTCAAAACCATTTCTTATTATTATCAATGTTGAAAACAAGTTAAAGGATTAGTTCACTTTTGAAAAAACTTTTGCTGATAATTTACTCACCCCCATGTCATCCAAGATGTCCATGTCTTTCTTTCTTCAGTCGAAAAGAAATTAAGGTTTTTGATGAAAACATTCCAGGATTTTTCTCCATATAATGGACTTCAATGGGAACCGGATGGTTCAGGTCCAAAAGACAGTTAATAACAGTTTCAGATGCAGCTTCAAATGTCTTTAAACGATATCAGACGATGAATAAGGGTCTTATCATGCGAAACGATCGGTTATTTCAAAACTTATTCCAAAAATGTAACTTTTCTAAGGACAAATGCTAGCCTTGATATATTCTCTGAGGCGCGTTTGTAACGTCACGTAATACGCAACTACGTTCAAAAGGTCACGGGTGACGTAGCCGGAAGTACAGAATTAAAATCGTCCGACATCGTTGTTTTACCTTTTAATTCCTTTTTTTGTAAACGGCGTTTGAGTTAGTTTGCACGTTCAACCTATGCGTTCAACTTGTAAACACTGACTCTGTACTTTCGGCTACGTCGCCCGTGACCTTTTGAACGTAATTGCGTATTACGTGACGTCAGAGGTAGAAGTAACGAATTACAACTACTCAGATTACTGTAATTAAGTAGTTTTTTCGTGTACTTGTACTTTTATGAGTACATTTTTAAGTCTGTAATTTTCCTTGTACTTGAGTACAAATTAAGTTAAGTAATGTACTTCACTACTTTAAAAATCCCATTAATTACAAAGTACTTGTACAATTTGAATTCAACAACTATTCAAATCTTTGACCAGCATTTGGGTATCCAATGGAAATAACTGATCGTGGGCGGGCCAATAAAAACCCTTGTATTTGGACCGGGAAAAAAAGCCCGGTTTCTGGAGAGCTATTCTTCCTCACACGTCCTTCAGTGTGTATTTTAGTGTTATCAAAGAACTTTGCCGTAATGGACATGGAGATTCGAGACACTGATTTCATTGAAAATTCCAAAGAAATACCAGATGACGAGTGCCCATGGCCGAACCTGGAGGAGATGTTCTTAAAGAGGAAGGAAAGGAGGCAGCATGCGTTTTATAGAAACTTTGTTTCTGCAGTGATTTCGGCTTACGAGACTTCAGCCTCTAATCTCAAAAAAATACATTATGGTAAATTTATGTGATAGTTCAGTTGTTTTCGTTTTTAAAGTTGGGTAGACCTCACGATAATTTGACTAAAAGCATCACTTGAAACATGAGCTTGCAGCGTTACTCAGGTGACAAGCACATATACTGTAATAAAGATTTAGCATTGTAAACTTAGATTAAAAAGTTAGATTGTCTGTCATTGTCAACACATTGTTTTATATTGAATCCGTGTTTTAAGCTTAGAATGAAGAGTTTAATAATGACTCTTTCATAAAAACAGTATCTTGCCGGCCACGACCCACTGGCATAACAGTGTAACTGCACTGATTGTCAGTCTGTCTAGATTGCGCATTTGTGTCAGTGCTAAATGCTGATAACTTTTGAAACTTTTAAAATATTAGTAGAGTACTTTTGGGAATCTTTATTGTAAAAAAAAAAGAAGTTTATAAATAAATAACCCAATAATCTTATTTATTTTGTATTATAATTCATTAATAATAATCATATTAGACCATTTTTATAACTTGGTTTCCATAAAAGTAAATAAATATCACAGGGTAAAAAGTAATTAGTACTTGAGTAGTTTTTGAGAGGGGTACTTTGTACTTTTACTTAAGTACATTTTTAACACCAGTACTTTCGCTTGTAATCGAGTATTATTTTAGCAACTACTTGTACTTGTACTCGAGTACAAATTTTCAGTACTCTTTCCACCTCTGCGTGACGTTACAAACGCGCCTCACAGAATAGAGCAAGGCTAGCGTTTGTCCTTAGAAAAGTTACATTTTTGTAATAAGTTTTGAAATAACCGATCGTTTCGCATGATAAGACCCTTATTCATCGTCTGGTGTCGTTTAAAGACATTTGAAGCTGCATCTGAAACTGTTATTAACTGTCTTTTGGACCTTGAACCGTTTGGTTCCCATTGATGTCCATTATATGGAGAAAAACCCTGGAATGTTTTCATCAAAAACCTTAATTTCTTTTCGACTGAGGAAAGAAAGACATGGACATCTTGGATGACATGGGGGTGAGTAAACTATCAGCAAAAGTTTTCAAAAGTGAACTATCCCTTTAATATTAAGAGAACAAAGACAAGGGAGGGAGTAAAAAACAGAGATCTGGCAACAAGAGACTAAAATGAAATAGAAAGAAAGGGATTTTACCATTCTGGGCCAAAGTTAAGTGTTTCAGCAGTCATATTCTTCCTTCCTTCTCGGAGGTGAAAGTCTACAAACAAATAAACCTGAACATGAGCGTCCAACCAACTCAAATATTTTGCAAGCACACTTCCCGTCATTAGTTTGCACAGATATTTTATTACATTGATTGCAGTGTGCGACTGTGCGCCGACATACTCAGGGCTCCAGATTGACATTTGAGAGCGGGTGCCACTAAGATTGCAGCGCCAGAAGCTGATTTGGTAGCAATTTGCTTTAATAAGTGTAGTAACTAATACTATTACATGTTTATTTCTTGGAAATGCACATTTGACTTTCTCACTGGATCTCCCAGCGCTATGTAGTAACAATGTCGCATGCTCGAGATCGGCCAGCGAGTAAACCCGTTCTGAGAGGGTTCTTGGTCCGACTCAGAGCTAACACACTGTCCGCCGCACCGCGCAGCTCGAACAAGAAGCGCGGATTCGCTCCACTTTAGTTTCGTTTGCCATTTTTATATGCAACAGATGGCAGCTCTTATCAGTAGGGCAATACAAAATTTAGTCGCATTAGCAAGAAAAAAGGTCGCAGTCTGGAGCTCTGATAATGCACACACAACTGCAAGACGTGAGTGCGTGTGTGTGTGCGTGTGTATATATATATATGAAGAGTTCAGATGCAAAAGCCTCTAAGTGCCATTTAAAATTTTCTTCTAGAATGATCATTTTTATCAAGCTTGTATATTTAAGTTCAGTGATTTCACTTAAATTGCAATGATAATTACCTATTAATTGTTATTTAAGTGAAATTACTGAACTTAAATATACAAGTTTGATAAAAATCATCATTAAAGAAGAAAATTTCAAATGGCATTTAGAGGCTTTTGCATCTGAACTCTTCATATATATATATATATATATATTAAACAGTCGTTCATATGTTATTCTTACCCTGTCCAGGGGAGTGGCGCAGGCAAGACTAGGCTAGGCTGGACCAGGTCTGGGTCAGAGGACTGAAAGGTGTGTGTGTGTGTGTTTCAGAGTAGCTAACTTAAGAGAAAGGAGGGTTATAGCTGCCTTATTCAGGATGTGTGTGCAGGAGAGCAGAAATACAAAAGGTCAGAGATGGTAAGAGCTCTCGTTCACAGCCGATGAAAACAAACAAATATAAAACAACTGGGGAACCAAAACAATGAACGAAAACCCTCTAAAATTAGTAATACCTGTGGGACTGCAAAAACTGCAGAGCTTTGATACTGACGTCTAAAGACGATTGACTATAGGGAACGAACAAAAGACTAACAAACAAAAAAAAGAGACTAATTTGTTGATAATACAGCTGCCAGAAGCAGTTATGACCACAATAAGCTTCTCTCTTTCTCTATCTGTGTGTGTCTTCCTAACTCTTCCTGTTGTACTGGCAATGCTGTGTGGACCAGGTCCCAGCTGGTGACCCTCTCCTCACGCCGACAATCCCTCTCCCTCCTCTACCTGCAGGAGAAGGAAAGAAAACATTTCAATGTTGTGGAGTAAATGCAAGTACAATAACTAGGGCTACAAGATATTGAAAAAAATGTGATATGTGATTCAATAATGCTTTTCTAGGCATTTTAGCGGCCTCTAGCGGTGATGTTTCAGAATGCAACATGCGCGAGCATTCACTACCAGCTACATGGAGAATTTCAACGCAACGGCGAAAGCATCTCACAACATTTTGGAAACTAATGTAAACTCCCACTGCAGTTACAATAATAGGCTCTTTTATCAGCTTGACGTTGAAGTAATGCTCTGTTCACTAGGGATGGCTTGATACCACAATTTTGGCTTCGATACGATACCAGAACCTAATACCTCGGTATCGATACTAAATCGATACCACAGTCGGAAAAAAGTCTAAATTTAAGTGAATTGAAACAATTTTATTAAACACTGCTTGAAACTCTCAACTACCATATGTGCAAAGAAAAGTATCCAAAAAAAAAACATATCAAAATTTAAAAAATAAACAAATTATGTGTCGGTAAAATTTTGATTTGGGGAAAAAAAACACTGATATTATACAATTAAAATAGGTTAATATCTATAATAATAGATTAACATAATAGAATAATGAAATGACGTAAACCATTAGCTGTCATGCATCAACAGAGAATTATCAACATTTATTGCATTTATTCATCTTGGTTTGGTTACTGTTTGTGTTTGGGTTCATATTATGCATATAATGCATTGCAAAAAGTAATGTTATGATGCTAAACATTTATTAGGATATTACATTTTTAGGTAATTTAATTTTATTACTGATTGATCTAGATTAATCAATGCTGTATTGTTAAGCCAGGTTCCTTAGTGAATGTTGACAAAATTAATTGTGGGCTAATATTATTAATATTTATATTACTACCATCTCTCTCTCTCTCTCTATGGGTCGCCACAGCGGCAGTAATGCCATTCATTTTACTATCACTTTTATGCTTTATTAATTCAAATTAAATGAATATATTTGTTTGAAACTGCAAAAATGATGAGATCACGAGACGGTAACTGAATTGGTTCTAGCGTGTCATGCAAGAAGATTTGAGCTTTCGTGTTTACCGTATCATATTTAATTGATAAGCTCTTATGTATGTGCGCTGTTCAGTGTTCAATAAAAGTCTAAATTAAATCAGTTGAATGATGAACTCACCAGTTGATCTCTTGAACAAGTCAGGATGAGCAACTGACGAGCGCTTGCATTCCATGGCAACACATTATTGAAAGCAAAGTTTGCAGAGCGGTGCATTGAGGTCTGTTTCTACACTATTCTCATTAATTTAGTAGGCAAAGTAATGCCTTATTTCACTCATACTGCTGTCTCTATTTATTAATTTCGGGCGTGAAGAAATCCGAATGAGCTTCATTTCCACCGTGTTCCTTCGTTTGCCGGTTTCGCGTGACTCGCGTCAGTTTCGGTAGCGCACTGCCGCCTAGTGGAAAACTTCGGAACAGCAGCTCATCAAATACCGAATTTAACAAAATGATGATATTGTACCGTTTGAAATTTATTATATACCGGTATTTTTGCAAAACCGGTATACCGCGCATCCCTACTGTGCACGTACCATGATCATAATGGTACAATAAACTGCATTTAGCCGACATGTGATGTTATATAGCATAAGCCATTTCACTAACTATTCATATATCTTTCACAATCAGCAATGCCAACATAGGTGAATGTATAATATGGGTTAACTTTCGTCCTGACGATCAAGGCGTTTTATAAACAACACACAAAGAACCCAAATAACTTAAAAACAATCCTAATAATAGGCTGTAGGACCGCGTATAGGTTTATTTTCGTTTTGTTGCATTATTTAGGCTATTTTCACATGCGTCAAGTGTAAAAATAAAAACGAAAACATTAAGAAAACACAATCTATTGAGTCAGCATGATATAGCCTTTAAAAGGCTGCTCACGTCTTTTGCGCGCTCAAGTTCGATTTCAAATGTAGGCGCGCGACTTGCGCGCTCATAATGGAGCAACGCGATCGCCTCCCTCCACAGTCTTGTCGTCTTTGTTTTAAAATGCAGCGAGACAAAAGATTTAGATTTCCTGGACATTTTGTCGACTAAAGCCAAAACGCAGCGTTCTAACTGAATGAATACAGCATCCCTTACCGAGCGCGAGCAGCAGCGCAGCCAGCCACACGTGCGGTTCCCGAGTGTATTATGTGTGTGCGCTAAACTGTGGTGCAGTTACAAAAATAGCCTCAATTAAAGCATTTTAAAGTTGGGTACAAAACATAGGCTAATTATATTTAGAATACAGTAATAAATAACTGCTTATAAAGGAATAAATATCAAGGACTAAATCATTGAAAAATTCTTTCTATTGGTAAAAAAAAAAATGCAACTGGTCGACCAATAAGAATGTCAGTCGACCAAGACGGCATCGACCAATTAGTCGACTAAACGACTAAAGTTGACAGCCCTATAATAAGGATAGAGAGGCTCGGGAGCGAGCCTGCACGTCACATCCGATAGATTTCGCAAGAAATCTGACCCGGAGACCTCACATATAAATATGAATATTGGCCTTCAGAGGTAATAGCAAAACCCGAAAAGTGGATCATTGTAATGTGTGATTACAACCCCTTCAAACACAGGCAATAAAAAAAGGATTAATTTTATTTTAAAAAAAGTTACATATAGGACCTTTAAGTGTGTAAAATAAATTTAAATGATATATAAATTAGGGATGTCACTTTTATAAAAATAAAAAAAAATCCTGTTCGATTTGAGACATAAGTGTTCATTGAATCGATTTTCCATGTCCAAAGACTAATACGCTTTCATTTTCAACACCAAATATAGGCAAATCCACGGACAACTAACAGCCATTAGGATGAACGTAAAGAGGGCGCTTGAGACACACACAAGTCAGCAATATTTGTTTCCGATGATTTATTGCCGTGAAGTTTCGTGCACAATGACAAAAATGAACTTTGGCGGGTAACACTGTCAAATCACGACCAAATTTGGTGTGTTTTTGTGTAAGCTAAATCTGCGCGGATTTAGCGCAAATACGCAACTCGTGGGCCCTCATGAAATATTAAATACAGCATATTTTGCAGAATCTGCGCATTTCTCCCTTACTTGAACACACACGTCACTGAGCAACAAATAACGGCACGCTTGTTCACTTGCATTGAAGTAATAGCGAATATTAAAAAAAGCATTTGGTTAACAGAATTATTTTCCAAACATCTTCTGTGTATTGATCTGTCCACCTAAAACACATTTTTGGTAAAAAACAAAACAAAAAGCCTATTAAAATCGATTCCCTATTTTAAATTTCGAAACTTGTGTTGGTTGGTCCGATCAATTATGCAGTGCAATCAATTTTCGAACGTAAATCGACAGCCCAAATATAAATATATAAAACCATGAAAATGATAACCATCATGTGTTTCACATTATTTTTGTGAGAAAAAAACAAGCATCCCTACAACTTCTGAAAAAGAACGGCTATTTCACAGTAAAATGACACAAAAAGTAGTCATTTTAACGTAGGGCTGTCAAACAATTAATCACATCCAAAATAAAAGTTTGTGTTTATATAATATATGTGGGTGCACTGTGTATAATTATTTTATATATATAAATACACACACATGCTTGTATATATTTAAGAAATATTTTCATGTATATTCTGTATATAGATTTATATATAATTATATAAATATAATATTTTTTTCTTAAATATACATGCATGTGTGTGTATTTATATATATACACAAAATAATTATACACAGTGCACCCATATATATTATGTAAGCACAAACTCTTATTTTGGATGCGATTAATCGTTTGACAGCCCCATTTTAACATCAGTGTAAACCTTACTAGCTTAGGTTTATTTAACAAGACATTATATACTTATTATATAATAATTGAAAGTTGCAAAAGTTATTCAGGCAAGAGCAGTGTGTGATTTTCTCATAATCTTTTATTGTTTGATTAACATTACGGCCTCAAAGGGAAGCAGGTTTATTAGGTTACTGTCACTTTAAGAGCTGCACGGAACCAATATATTATTACATGCACGCTTTCTTTCTCAACTGATTAGACAGCTTAAAGGGATTGTCCCCCAAAAATTACATTTCTATCATTAATTACTCGCCCTCACGTCGTTCCAAACCCGTAAGACTTTCGTTCATCTCCAGAACACAAATGAAGATCTTTTTGATGAAATCTGAGAGCTCTCTGTCGCTCAATTGACGCATGCATAAAAATAACCTTTCTCCTTCAAAAAATATTCTTTAAGATATTGTGACCACAAACAAACCTAAATAGACCTGTCTTCGGGGAAACATGGTGTTATCTTAAAAACTGTTAATTTGTGGCAAAGTTCCCCTCAAGTTTGCCAGAAGGCCTATATTTTGGAAAGGGCAAGTGCAGCTAGATTCAAGCTAAACCTTTTCTAGATTATTGACATCTGCACGGCACAACTAGAAGGGTTTGTGCAATCAGAAAAACACAGAGATGGAAAAGACACATTTAACTGCACCCACAGATGTCATAGCAACTGAAATATCCAAGCAACCGAACAAACCAGTGAGAATAAATAGTATTCACTGGGGGAGTAGGGCTCTTACACAAAGTAACCTACAACACGAGAATGCATGTGTCAGCCCAACAACAAGTAGGCTAAAGACACCTGTAACCTAAACCTCAATTATAAATACATTAGTATGCCTGAGAGTGCTCATAATTCATTGCTGAACTACAATGTCATGTGAACAGTTGCCAAATAACAGCAAACAGCTGGTTCAAACAGGAGAGAAAACATCATTCAACCAACAGTTTAAAAAACTAATTTAACAACCCTTTATATATACATACACACTAATAAAGCCATTCACATTAACAAATACATGTTTAACTGTTTTATTATTATTGATGATACTAAAACACAAGTTTTTAATATGCATGTTTATAGTAATTTCATGTGCACTAGTTGTTTGTCTTAACGGAGTTAAACTACAACTTGAATATAATTTGATTAACTAAAATTAACTTAAAAATTATCTGACTTAATAAAGTGCTACTTATTAAAACTTTCTTTCGTATCAATGCTGATAAAACTGTCATATGCTCAACTCATAAACATTTTAAGTTGCAGGTGTTTGTTTACCCGGATGTTCTTGATGTTAAGTTTTCAGATTGATATAACTATATGATCAAGGTGAGCAAAAGAGTTGTTAGTATTAAATCATTTTTTTTCTTAGGGCTGTGAAACGATTAATCACGATTAAATCGCATCCAAAATAAATGTTTGTGTGTACATAATATATGTGTGTGTGGTGTTTATAATTATTTTGTATAAATACACACACATGCATGTATTTAATATATATTTGCATGTATATACAAAATTCATATTATACATAAGTATACATATTTGTATATGATATATTGATAACACATTTTTCTTAAATATATACATGCATATGTATTCATATCTACAACACAAACTTTTATTTTGGATGCGATTAATCGCAAATCGTTTCACAGCCCTATTCTTCATTATGATGTTAAAATGACATTGTCAGATGACATTGTGACAGATTTGACATCCTTTTATGAAAAGCTTAAACATTGTTCACTCTTTAAAAAAATTGCATCGATGCTTTCTTTTCTTAGAAAGAATATGAAAGTGTGAGTTATTGGTTATATTTACAGTTTTAAACTATTTAAATATAAATTAAATCGATTTTATACACTTAGAGCAATATATTATCGCGGTTTTTGATACATTAATTTTTATATCGTGCAGCACTAACTTCTCTCCAAATGCCAATTTATAATTTGCCGGTTCTTGCTTCAATGAGTCAATAAGCTGCTGGTTCCGCTCAGACGGATTCAGTCCAGTTCGTGAACCAACCCGTTCCGCGAATCGGTTCAACCAAATCACTAAAAAGATTCGACTCAAAAGAAAGAGTCGTTCGCGAATGGGACATAACCACCACGACCAACTAACTATTTTCCTCAATCCATTCATATCTGACATGTCCTCGCGCTGTACGCCCAGAAAAGACGACTATTTTGTCACAGACACGATGTCGGTGTCCAATACCTACTGCTTGAATGACACCGACCATATATGATTATGAGCAGATTGACGTCGTTTTTCTATCGATTGGAGGAGCTTAGAGGGGCGTCGCGTGCTCGGGGGAGAGGGGAGTGTGCACGCGGCACCCCTCCAAAATCCACTCCGGTGCTTCCCTTGGCCTTCAACCCACGGCCACAGTTGCCTTTCCAAACATACAGAAGCCTCTCTGCTTAAACCAGCACAATGTATGTCCACGGAACCAAGAGCTGGCCTCTAATGCACATTTGCTGCTCGCATACACACTGACCTTCACCTTCCAAGTTTGCATAAAACTTAATGTAACATCCATCTGCCATTAAACGCTTCAGACATTCAAGGAGAGAGAGAGAGAGGCGCACAGTTGACACTGACCGTATTTCTGGAGCTGTCGATGCGATTTTTTACTGTCCAGTCGCCCCGTCGAACTCTACGATCTTCACTTTGGATGCATGTGCAGTTGTTTGTGTTCTGTGCTCCTCCTCGAGAATCGTGTTCCGTTTTTACGGTTTTTTGCTCTCTCTTTCTCTCTCTCCCTCTCCAATGGTCGTTGCGTGTTGATGTCTAGTACGCTCTTGTTGTTTGTGTTTTAGGGAAGATGGCCGTCCTACTCGGGTATACCACGTGACCGGAGTGTGTCGAGTTGCTCTAGGCGCGTGAAGAGAGTGACACCTAACGGAAGACTTGAAATGACAACCGGAAATGCTTTGTCCATAATAAAAGTCACAATAATTATATTGCTAAAATCATTGGACCGAATTAATAAACACACACACAATTAAGTAAATAAGCCTATCCACACAAATATTGTACTACTACGTCATATTGATAATAACTAGTCATTGTAGTAGGTTTTGTTTCCAACTAATTTGTTTAGACAATAAAGTTTTAAGTTTTCAAGCTCTTATTGGATTATTTATCTTGTTAACGAAACGTTATGAGCACGGCCATCATATTTCAAATTGTTTTGCGCAATTATTTATCGTGTTCAATATCATTGGTGGTGGGTTGGGATCTGGTGGGGATAAACATCTTTGGAATTAAATTGATAAGACTATTCGAAACTTTATGTAACGTTACCCCAAATAGACACAATTCAATGTCAGTTTCTCCCTTTTTAAAATAATTTCTTCACATAGATGTCTCGTTTACCTTAACACAACATTTCAATCATTTAATCAACAAAGTTCTGGGTTTAATATTTAAGATGTCAGGAAACGAGAGTCATGCACTACGGGTTTTAGTCTTTTATTTATGTATTTGAGCTTCGTATAAAAAATGACTATAATAAATTGAATATACTATCACGAATAATACGATGATTGTTTTAAAAAATAATAATATTAATACAATATTTTTAAGGATTCTGGAGTACCAAGCACAGGTTAATAATTTCAGGGCCATGATATATATATTAAAATACCACGGTCATGGTTTATTAAAAATATGACGTTATCACTGTCTTTTATTTTGACAATTTCGTGAACAAGCTAGCTGCTAGTGTTGTTGGATTTTCCGCGAACATGGAGGCGATTGTGTCAGATGTAGTGGCACCAGAAGATCTAAAGGTAAAACATTTTAATTCTCGCCTTTAACGACTGCGAATCCAAAATGAAATCGATAAAGGTTATATGTAGCAAAATCATCGCTATTCGGTTATAATCGGAAGTTTCAGTTGACGCAGCTCTAAGTTACTAAACCGCATCAAAACAACAACAATGAACATGACGTAGCTGCTATGTCTGTTGATGTATCCACAACTAAATGTTAGCAAAGACTTTACACACAGTCTTAAAGGGATTTTGTTGTAAGTTAATGACTTATGTAAGACTAGACCTGCATACACCCTTCAGATAAAAATACCTATTTTATTAGTTTTGTCACACCTACCATTTGACCTATTACATAAATGGAAAGAGATGATTCTCTGCTATAACTCACGATGGAGACAAATTCTTTCTATAAAAGTTAGTCTGTGTTTGTCGGCCAGGGGGAGCACATGATCCTGACATCATCCTCCCACTGATGCAACTGAGTGAATCTGATTCCCAGTACCCATCCACTGATGGGACTTTTTTTCTCTTCCAGAGGTTTGAGAAGAAGTATAATGCAGAGCTGTTGAAAGGACCTGTTTCAAAGGAAACCACCTTTGAATACGCCTGGTGTTTGATCAGAAGCAAGTACACAAATGATATTGTAAAAGGCATTCATCTTTTGGAAGGTCAGTACTTCAGCAAGTCTTAGTTTTTGGTTAAATGATAGTTCACCCAAAAATGAAAATCCTGTCAGCATTTACTCACTCTCATGTCGTTCCAAATCTGTATGAGTTTCTATCTTCTGTTGATCACATTAAAGGGATAGTTCACTTTGAAAGTAATTTTTGGTATGTTTTAGCTTACCTCAAGGGCATCCAAGATGTAGGTGTCTTTGTTTCCGCAAGTAGTTTCAATTTTGATATTTTAGGGTCAAACCGTTCTTGTCTGTCAGTCATATAATGCAGGTCTATGGTCACCACCTCAAAGAGCATTCACAGAGAAGTCCAAATCAAACATGATTTAACCACAGTCACAAAGCGCCCGCACCCTCAGAACACTTGGACGTGGCTGTGGTTACAAGAGGTAAAAACTATATACTGTTCGTTTTCTCACACAAACCGCTCGTTTCGTGTCTTAGGCCATCAATGTGTACTTACATTTACGAGTCATCAAATCTTGTTTAATTTGGACTTCTCTGTGAATGCTCTTTGAGGTGGTGACCATAGACTTCCATTATATGACTGACAGAAAAGAACGGTTTGACCTAAAAATATCAAAATTGAAAATACTGTGGAAACAAAGACACCTACATCTTGGATGCCCTTGAGGTAAGATAAAACATATCAAAAATTAATTTCAAAGTGAACTATCCCTTTAAAGAGATTTTGAAGAATGTTGGTAATCAAACAGTCGATGGTAGCCAGAAAAAATACTATGCAAGTCAATGGCTACAACTCAACTGTCTGGTTAGCAACTTAGGTGATGACAGAAGTTTAACTATCCCTTTACACTGTAAACCCGGATAAGTTCACAGAACTCAAAAATTATTTTGTAACAGATTACACAAAAATATTTGAGTGATGTTTTTAAAAGTTTTAAGTTTACTTAAATTAAAAGTTATATTTAATGTTGCCTTAAATTATCTCAATGTTAACTTAAAAATATTGATATTTCTCAACTTAAAATTAGTGAGTAATTCACTCAAAAATTTCAATTATCTTCAAATCATAAAATGTTGGAAATACACTCAAAATTTTCACTTTTCTTAAACTCATAAAATGTCAGATATATACTCAATTTTCACTTTTCTTAAACTCATAATGTAGGAAATGCACTAAATTTCCTATAGTTTTCTACTCATAAAGTGGGATATGCACTCAACATTTACTCTAAACTAAAATCCTGATGTCAGCCAACTACACAATTTTACTCAGCTAATAATGTCAGAAAAGATGAAGTGACACCACTGTGACAATTTAGCAACTTTTTTTATTCAACAATGTGCTTTTAAAAAGACACAAAAGGAGCTTGCAAGTGTTTTATCCTTCACGACAGATACTCTCAGGGCAGAAGAGGGCTGCATCAGTAGTGTTATCCGTTACGACTGTCAGGAGAGCCACTGGAGTATCGGTGAGGTCTGGACCAACTCCTGACTATAAAACACAAATAATACAAGAATGAGTTTAGCCGCTCAAGGATACAAATCATGCCAATGATCTCTAAACATTACTGACACTTAGACAACTACTAAGCTACATGTTTAAACTATTTTCTTTACATATGCTTATATCTTATGTTAGTTTCACACCTATCTGTTGGCATACTTTTTGTGGAAAGCTTTATACTTACCTTTTCATTTATAATAACTTGAGAATAACAGTTTACTTAAGAATAACAACTCAGGTCCTGGGGGCTATTCCAGAAAGGAGGTTCAACAAACTCTAAGCCTAACCCTGAACTCTGCGTTGACTTACCATGAGTTTTCAGTTGCAGAATAGCTGATCTGAGTTAGGTACTCTAAAATATTATTATTATAGTATTATTAGTTATTTCTCTTTTTCTGCCGGCTGGTGAAAAAAAAAAGAAGCTAAAACAAAGACGATTGTTCTGATGTGAGAGCACATCAGCAATGACGTGTAGTCTGATATTCACTGTGCGGCCGAAGTATATAAATTGCGGACTGATGAGAGAGCGGTCTACTGTTCGGTTCAGTCCTTGTCAGGGAGTGAGAGCTCATCAAAATGAATCAAACTATGTGAATTATTTCTGCTTCAACATGATTGGACTAAAAAAGAAAGGACAGCTGCTGTCAGGCAGCTCCGTAAGACTCAGGGTTTCTTCAAGCAAATCTTTAGGTTCACAACGTAAGTTACCACAGTAACAGACCCAGAAATTAAGTTAAATCTATGCTTCTTAATTGCCATGGAGAATCACAGTATCAGAGCTCCATTGATGGCTTTATACTGCTCGTGAAGCACAAGCTCAACTCAAGAGTTAACATACTCGGAGTTAAATTACCTAACTCAGATCAGCTATACTGCAACTAAAAACTCAGGGTAAGTCAACTCAGAGTTCAGGGTTAGGCTTAGAGTTTGTTGAACCTCCTTTCTGGAATAGCCCTCTGGAATGGATAAGTCAAGAGTTTTCACATAACCTGCTTTCTGAAATACCCGCCTGGTTTTCCTATAGTTTTTGGAGAGATATGTTTAAGCTGACCGAATAGCAAGGCAAAGGGATTGATAGTGAGGACAGTACACTTACATTACAGGTCCTGAAGAACTTAAAGAATCTTCATGCAGGTAGACAGGAAGTGCACCAAGGATGAGGTCCCATCTCATATTTACATCACGTTGTTCCTAGATGGACAAAAAATATACATTACAAAAGTAATTACACAAATGCAGAACAAACACTTAAAAAAAGAAAAGTGTTAAATAGCTCCATATTCTGATGGTGGTCTTTGCTATAGAATGGTAGATTCAGTGTTTTTGGTTCACCATTTCTTCATTAAAACATTTTTAAAATAAATTACTTTCTATTGTAAATACTTGAATAACACAAAAAAGGAAAAAAACTTAAAATTGTAAACAAAATTTCATGAATGCAGACAGTAGTTATTTTGATATCTTCAAATTGAAACTGAAAGTATCTTTTAAAGGTACCTCTTTCTGATGAAAATACATCTTGTCAGGATGTCTATCTCTGATGATATGACAATGTTGTTCATGGAATAATCTATTAGCCTCAGGGCACAGTCCAGGCAATTCACTATGGTTTCTTATAGTTGACTGAATATAATCTGTAAATAATCTGTTTCTGAATCATGTTAAGTTTAAAATTCACCTGAAGGTCATAAATCCTCATGAGTTTGGCTAGCTCCTCCACTGTCTTGACAGTCTTGGTGGCCTTGTCTCAGGTGATGAGTTTAGGCGTGTGTCTGTCCAGCTCCTTGTAGAATTGATTGCAGGTTAATGTTGTTGATTCGGTGAAACTCTGCAATACATGGAGAGACTTGTGAACGTATTTTTAGTTTAAGTTTTCAGTTGCCAGGTAGGAAAAACAAGGGCAATTCTACTAGGGATGAGTCAGAACCAATGTCAAAATAGAAAGTTATTTGTCATTCTTTAATTTAAAACAGGCTGTATAATGTTATCAAATAGAGAATACTTTTCATTTCAATCTGCTTTTAAAAAAAAATCATATCAGTAAACAATTTACAAATCTCACCTATTGGCAACTGTCTGATGGTGAAACGCTGACTCTCTGTAGCACTCAAGTTCAATATCTATACACAACATGCACACAAAGATGATTAGTCAATGTTCTAAAAACATTTTTAAACGATACAAAATGATAAATTAAATGTAAAAAAGTAAATTTACAGACAAAAATCCAAAATGTTCAAATCTATCAAAAACATTCATTGTACAGTAATTTTAGTAAAATGAAAAGTTAGTTAATAACAAGCACAGCATCAAAGTTGTGTGTGTATATGCTATTTCTGTTGATGTTTTGTTTCATTAATACTAACAAAGTATTAATAAAGGATTCAAGTGATAAAAGCATCTAAAGAAATGGCAAAAAATGACAGTGGAAACACAAAATAAAACCAATTGTTAATAACATTATTTCATAATACATCCTACCTGAACTTTTAAAAAAGATTCCTAGATGATCATCTCACAACCAAACACTCGAGCCTGGAAAGAAATACACACAAAGACCTTGTTGGTTTCATGATAACACACTGACATTATGTTGTTTAGCATAGATTCACGCTGGTGCTGCACACAAACACACAGCTCGTCAACGCGAAATACTTACTGTTTAACGCGGACACTTACAAATAAGTAAAATGTTACTTTACATGCATTACCAGCGAAAACAACAGCCGGCAGAAACTGGGAAGCAGGGATAAGTTAACGTTATGCTTTCGGACCATAGACAGTGGGAGCGTTTCGGACTCCACGAGAAAATTCAAACTCACGGTCGTTCCTCTACGTCAATGTCCCGGGAAAACATGCATTATGTGAAATGTAGTTCTTCCGGAAACCCGCCAACTGTACACCGTTGTTAGATTCAAACATTTTTAGTTACAATTACTCGGATTTGTAAACTATTTACAACAAATATTCACTGTGCATATTATATACATGTATTCCCAGTTCCAAATGTAAGACTATTTATCGAAATTCAATTAAAAACAACAACAAAAAATGTTAGCATTACTTACCAAATCAGGGCTGATAAGACGGCGCTGAAATGACGGCAGGTCAAAGATGAAAAAACTGAGGTCTTGGTTTGAAGTGAGGGGATAAAAAATGCATTGCAAACGAATAAAAACAAATTAAACTGTAAAAACTTCCATGAAAACTTCTCCGCATGAAGGCAAATTCAAGATGGCTGACTCAGCTTTCCTGAGGCAGAGATAAGACCCACCCACCACGTCATGACGTCATGCCACTACTCCTAAACTTTTTGAGTGCTCCACACAAATTAACTATCAAATTTTGAGCCCTATTCAATTAAAGTGGTATAAATGTCAACAGAGCTCAATACTTAATAGTTTGTTCAACTGCATAAGGACATTTGACTGTAATGACCTCATTAGTTATGAGCTAGTACAACTGTTAGGTTTTACAGTGTAGTTTGGGCCTGCTTGTGGTCCAGCGTTAATGTTCTTGACTTCAAATTCAGTAAAACGTGATTAATTTTTCTTTTGCCAGAACTGGTTCAAGCGAGTAAAAAAGACGATCAGAGAGATTTTCTCTTCTACCTGGCTGTTGCAAACTACAGACTCAAGGTGGGTTAGTATTTTCCCAGACAAATCCAAGTTGTTATCTGGGACGATGATGACGTCACTGCTAATGTTGTTGTTTTTTATATCACATATCTTTGTCGTCTAATTAAATCAGTGTTTCTCAACTATGTTCCTGGAAGCCTATGACTTTACTGCATAATTTCAGTTTGGTCACTTTATTGTCACATCATTATATAAACAAGTGGAATGTATAAACGGTTCAATCAGAGTTTCAGATGAAGTAGCTGTGTTAGACGTAAACCTGTTGAGGACGTCCTGCTCATATTTTACCCCAAAGTCATGGGAAAAGCATATCACTCTAAAAAATGCTGGGTTGTTTCAACCCAAACTGGGGTTAAAAATCTAATTAAACAATTTACAGTTGAAAGCGAAAGTTGATCTTGGGTTAAAATTTTAAAATTACATTTTTAACCCAACATTTGGGTTTGTCCATATTAAATTTGGGTCAAATATGGACAAACCCAAATGTTGGGTTAAAAATATAATGAAACAATTTACAGTTGAAAGCGAAAGTTGAAGTTGGGTTAAAATGTTAAATTCAGGGCTCCAGACTGCGACCAAATGGTCGCATTTTGCGACCAAAAATTGAGAGTGTGCGACTGAATTTTACATCCACATCCATACATTACATCCATTTTACACATGTGCGACCAGTAAATTTGCCACATGTTAAACGCATGGTAAAGCGTGGAAGAGGCGCGTCAATGAATCTGTGACAAGAATAGCGCGCGTAAACGTTTGTGGGAAGGAGACGGAAACAAATATCACAAACTGATGTGCGTCTGAGCAATCAGCGATCTATCGACTCTTTAGTCGTTACCTAGCAACGAATGCAAACAAAATGAAAGTGGAACGAAAATACGCCACTCATGTATGATTAGGACCGTGGAGCAGCAGCAGCGATCCGAACCATTGACAAAATAAAGCCCCGAACTTGCCAGTCGCGGGCCGATCTCGCTCACGCAACACTGTTACTAGAGCCAGTGAAGAAATCCATTGAATTCGCCTCAGAATTAATAACATTAACACCACGAGATCCAGTGAGAAACACTCCGATTCGGCGTAGAGTTCTGTTATAAACCATATCAGATCAAACAGCGCTGACGTGAAAACCAGGAAAAACACTTATAGAAGGCTTTCAGTCCACAAATCAGCCTAACAGAACCATGAATTTAGGCAAGTTAACTCTTACCATAAATATGATAATGTGTAAGTAGCCTACTACACATCCTTTCCCAGCACTTCAATAATATCATATAAATGTTTTATTTTTTTGTATTTTTTATGTGATTACCATACCAACACATTTTTTGTTCATCCTTTAAAGATTGTCCTTAAACGAACAATTTTAAGATGTTGGAAAACTCTTATTTAAACACTTAAAATAATAATAATAATACCATTGTAAACAGTAGGATGTTTATTGGCTATTTTCACTCCATATACATATTTTCACTACTTTTATTAATTAATATTAAGACATTATAAATGATAAAAACTAAAGTTAATTTCATCTACACCCTAAATTAAGCTTAGTGATTTATTGTTAGCCCCAGTGCTGCCAGATTATTATTTTTTTTTTTTAATACAACTGTGAGTTCTCATTTGAGGTGATGCTGCCCTCAACTTTGGGTCTGGAGCCCTGTGAAGTTAAAATAAAACAGCATATCATAATGTTAAGTCTATTTATTTATTGTTAAAGAATTTGTCAGTATTACAGTTATTTTGTGGGAAATTTGAATAATTGCATTGCAAGCTTATTTAAGGTGTGCCCCTAAATTTTTTGCTTGCGCTCCTAAAATTTTCAGTCAGGGGCAACAGCGCTCCTAGTAAAAAAAGTTAGTCTGGAGCCCTGAAATTAATTACATTTTTAACCCAACATTTGGGTTTGTCCATATTAAATTTGGGTCAAATATGGACAAACCCAAATGTTGGGTTAAAAATGTAATTAAACAATTTACAGTTGAAAGTTGAAGTTGGGTTAAAATTTTAAAATTACATTTTTAACCCAACATTTGGGTTTGTCCATATTTGACCCAAATTTAATGTGGACAAACCCAAACGTTGGGTTAAAAATATAATGAAACAATTTACAGTTGAAAGCGAAAGTTGAAGTTGGGTTAAAATGTTAAATTAATTACATTTTTAACCCAAAATTTGGGTTTGTCCATATTAAATTTGTGTCAAATATGGATTAACCCAAATGTTGGGTTAAAAATGTAATTAATCAATTTACAGTTGAAAGTGAAAGTTGAAGTTATGTTAAAATTTTAAAATTATTTTTAACACAACATTTAGGTTTGTCCATATTTGACCCAAATTTGATATGGACAAACCCAAATGTTGGGTTAAAAATGTAATTTTAAAATTTTTACCCAACTTTAACTTTCAACTGTAAATTGTTTAATTACATTTTTAACCCAACATTTGGGTTTGTCCATATTTGACCCAAATTTAGGTTGACACAACCCAGCATTTTTTAGAGTGTATATAGTGGCAGTGGCACCTACTGTGCGTTTAATTCTTCTGTACCACCTTTTGAAGTCAGTCAAATTGTAACCAGTATTTGAAACACGAGCAAACCACGATATTCTTTTTAAATGTTTACTTCTAAAACATAAAACAAAAACTGTTACATGGGGTACGCACGGTCAAAAAACTGTGTTGCTTCCAACGTCTCTAACTTCAAACTAAAAAACATCCAATCACTTGCGTTATGACGTAGTGCGATCTGACTGGAAGCTCAAAATAATTAAATATAATCAGATCTAAACATTACTAAATAAACATTTTAAATCCAAAAATAAGTAAAATAATAATTCTTATAAACCTTCATGAAATATTTTCTTACTATTTTTACTAAATTATTAATTCAGGTGAACTAATCCCTATGTGGCTCTTACAGTGTATATATATTGAATGCCTATTTTTAAAGATGTATTTTCTTGATCAAAAATACAGTAAAAGCCTCAAAATATTATTAGAAAATAAAATAGATTTTCTGTTTTCATATGTGTAAAGTGTAATATATTCCTGTGATGAAAGCTGATTTTCAGCATCATTACTCGAGTCTTCAGTGTCACGTGATCTTTCAGAAGTCATTCTCATAATAAGGAAGATGTATGAATGTAATCTTTCTCCCTTTGTTTAGCTCTGTTTACCACCCTGCATCTATCTTTTCTTCTCTTCTCAGGAGTATGAGAAAGCACTGAAGTACATTCGTACTCTGCTGAAGACTGAACCCGGTAACAAACAGGCCCTGGAACTGGAGAAACTCATCAACGATGCGCTAAGAAAAGGTGAGATACAACGACAGACAAGACAAACATCAGTCAGTGGCCTTATTAAATAGGATTTTGTGACATACGCTACCATTCAAAATTAAAACCAAAAAAAAATTTTTTTTTTTTAAAAGAATGAACGCATTTAACTCTGCAAGGACTCCCCTAAAAATCAGCCTATTAGCATCATATGAATAATAGAGAAATCGCTGCTTAAAATTAAGCTTTGTCGAAATGCCAAATGTACTGCTGATAACCAGTGGCAGTGTCCTGCATAACAGCAGGAATGGAAACGCATGTGTATATTTTATAGCCCGACCGATAAAGGATTTTGAAGGCCGATACAAATATTTTTGGGTTTTAAAATCCGATATTCCGATATATTGGCCGATATTTTATATATTTATTTATTTTTTGTCATCCTTATTTGAGTTAAGAGAACTGATGGGGATGTTCTTTTATTTGTTATTCAAGCAATGTATGTATCGTGACCAACTCAACGAGTGTTGCCAACAGGATTGGTGTAGAGTGCCCTCTGGTGGACAAACTAAACTACACAACACTCATGACATGGTTCAAGCGTGTTTCGTCCGTTTTTATTTTATTTTCGAAATATTCATTTATCGGCCATTATAACTGCCGATACCGATAGTTTGGAAAATGCCTAATATCGGCCGATGATATCGGTCTGCCGATATATCGGTCTGGCTCTAGTATATTGTCATACAACCAATGTTGTAGAAAGTTACGTTTCAAAGTTATGCATTATTGCGTTACTCGCTAAAAAAGTAACTAATTGTATTATTTAGTTACTTTTTATAGAATGTAATGGGTTACTTTTTCTCATCTGGGCTGGGCTGTTTTTATTTTTAATAACAAAAAAATATATATTTTTGCCAAACATAAAGGGCCTTTCACATCAAATGTGAAATGAATAAGCTTCGGGCTGAAGGAAATGCAAATTTACTCAAAATGCAACTCAAGGCCAGCAGCAAAGACTTTAAAGTGAGATTAAATTCGTAAAGTAAATTTGTGTAATTCGACATTGAATTATTGCAGGTTTGTATAATATTCTGATTTTACATTTCACTGTTTTTATTCATTTTTAAGGAATACTGAATCTGTTTTTGTGCAAGTGAGATGATTCAATGCTCACGTTTAGTCTAGAACTACAGTAACCATCATGTTCACACACACAACGGTTTATCTCAACATGAGGACAGGAGAGCTGTCAGTCAAATGTGGAAACAAAGTAACTATTTGAAAAACTCTGATATTTTCTTGTAAAATCAAAAGTAAAGCGTTACTAGTTACTTGAAAAAAGTAATCTGATTACATTTCTTGTAACACTGCTTACAACAACCATGTTTACATGAATATTGTGATATCTGTAGATGTATAAACATAAATCAATGAAGACCTCCAGCAGATGCACATGTAAACATACTCAATCTGTTGCATTAAAGAAACAAGTGAAGAAATCTCTCCGTTCTTTTCAGATGGCTTGGTTGGCATGGCGATCGTTGGCGGTATCGGATTAGGTGT